GCGATGGCACGGCATGAAGGTGTGTACGCGCATGGCACGGCATGAAGGTGTGTACGCGCATGGCACGGCATGAAGGTGTGTACGCGCATGGCACGGCATGAAGGTGTGTACGCGCATGGCACGGCATGAAGGTGTGTACGCGCATGGCACGGCATGAAGGTGTGTACGCGCCATGGCACGGCATGAAGGTGTGTACGCGCATGGCACGGCATGAAGGTGTGTACGCGCATGGCACGGCATGAAGGTGTGTACGCGCATGGCACGGCATGAAGGTGTGTACGCGCATGGCACGGCATGAAGGTGTGTACGCATGCACGGCATGAAGGGTACGCGCATGGCACGGCATGAAGGTGTGTACGCGCATGGCACGGCATGAAGGTGTGTACGCGCATGGCACGGCATGAAGGTGTGTACGCGCATGGCACGGCATGAAGGTGTGTACGCGCATGGCACGGCATGAAGGTGTGTACGCGCATGGCACGGCATGAAGGTGTGTACGCGATGGCACGGCATGAGGTGTGTACGCGCATGGCACGGCATGAAGGTGTGTACGCGCATGGCACGGCATGAAGGTGTGTACGCGCATGGCACGGCATGAAGGTGTGTACGCGCATGGCACGGCATGAAGGTGTGTACGCGCATGGCACGGCATGAAGGTGTGTACGCGCATGGCACGGCATGAAGGTGTGTACGCGCATGGCACGGCATGAAGGTGTGTACGCGCATGGCACGGCATGAAAGGTGTGTACGGGCATGCACGGCATGAAGGTGTGTACGGGCATCGGCACGGCATGAAGGTGTGTACGCGCATGGCACGGCATGAAGGTGTGTACGGGCATGGCACGGCATGAAGGTGTGTACGGGCATGGCACGGCATGAAGGTGTGTACGGGCATGGCACGGCATATGAAGGTGTGTACGGGCATGGCACGGCATGAAGGTGTGTACGGGCATGGCACGGCATGAAGGTGTGTACGCGCATGGCACGGCATGAAGGTGTGTACGGGCATGGCACGGCATGAGGTACGGCATGCACGGCATGAAGGTGTGTACGGGCATGGCACGGCATGAAGGTGTGTTACGCGCATGGCACGGCATGAAGGTGTGTACGCGCATGGCACGGCATGAAGGTGTGTACGCGCATGGCACGGCATGAAGGTGTGTACGAGCATGGCACGGCATGAAGGTGTGTACGGGCATGGCACGGCATGAAGGTGTGTACGGGCATGGCACGGCATGAAGGTGTGTACGGGCATGGCACGGCATGAAGGTGTGTACGGGCATGGCACGGCATGAAGGTGTGTACGGGGCATGGCACGGCATGAAGGTGTGTACGGGCATGCACGGCATGAAGGTGTGTACGGGCATGGCACGGCATGAAGGTGTGTACGGGCATGGCACGGCATGAAGGTGTGTACGGGCATGGCACGGCATGAAGGTGTGTACGGGCATGGCACGGCATGAAGGTGTGTACGGGCATGGCACGGCATGAAGGTGTGTACGGGCATGGCACGGCATGAAGGTGTGTACGGGCATGGCACGGCATGAAGGTGTGTACGGGCATGGCACGGCATGAAGGTGTGTACGGGCATGGCACGGCATGAAGGTGTGTACGGGCATGGCACGGCATGAAGGTGTGTACGGGCATGGCACGGCATGAAGGTGTGTACGGGCATGGCACGGCATGAAGGTGTGTACGGGCATGGCACGGCATGAAGGTGTGTACGGGCATGGCACGGCATGAAGGTGTGTACGGGCATGGCACGGCATGAAGGTGTGTACGGGCATGGCACGGCATGAAGGTGTGTACGGGCATGGCACGGCATGAAGGTGTGTACGGGCCATGGCACGGCATGAAGGTGTGTACGGGCATGGCACGGCATGAAGGTGTGTACTGTCAATGGGCATGGCACGGCATGAAGGTGTGTACGGGCATGGCACGGCATGAAGGTGTGTACGCGCATGGCACGGCATGAAGGTGTGTACGGGCATGGCACGGCATGAAGGTGTGTACGGGCATGGCACGGCATGAAGGTGTGTACGGGCATGGCACGGCATGAAGGTGTGTACGCGGCATGGCACGGCATGAAGGTGTGTACGCGCATGGCACGGCATGAAGGTGTGTACGCGCATGGCACGGCATGAAGGTGTGTACGCGCATGGCACGGCCATGAAGGTGTGTACGCGCATGGCACGGCATGAAGGTGTGTTACGCGCATGGCACGGCCATGAAGGTGTGTACGCGCATGGCACGGCATGAAGGTGTGTACGGGCATGGCACGGCATGAAGGTGTGTACGGGCATGGCACGGCATGAAGGTGTGTACGGCATGGCACGGCCAGAGGTGTGTACCCATGGCCGGCATGAGGTGTGTCCCACGGCATGAAGGTGTTGTACGGGCGATGGCACGGCATGAAGGTGTGTACGGGCATGGCACGGCATGAAGGTGTGTACGCGCATGGCACGGCATGAAGGTGTGTACGCGCATGGCACGGCATGAAGGTGTGTACGCGCATGGCACGGCATGAAGGTGGTGTACAGCGCATGGCACGGCATGAAGGTTGTGTACGCGCATGGCACGGCATGAAGGTGTGTACGCGCATGGCACGGCATGAAGGTGTGGTACGCGCATGGCACGGCATGAAGGTGTGTACGCGGCATGGCACGGCATGAAGGTGTGTACGGGCATGGCACGGCATGAAGGTGTGTACGCGCATGGCACGGCATGAAGGTGGTGTACGCGCATGGCACGGCATGAAGGTGTGTACGCGCATGGCACGGCATGAAGGTGTGTACGCGCATGGCACGGCATGAAGGTGTGTACGCGCATGGCACGGCTATGAAGGTGTGTACGCGCATGGCACGGCATGAAGGTGTGTACGCGCATGGCACGGCATGAAGGTGTGTACGCGCATGGCACGGCATGAAGGTGTGTACGCGCAATGGCACGGCATGAAGGTGTGTACGCGCATGGCACGGCATGAAGGTGTGTACGCGCATGGCACGGCATGAAGGTGTGTACGCGCATGGCACGGCATGAAGGTGTGTACGCGCATGGCACGGCATGAAGGTGTGTACGCGCATGGCACGGCATGAAGGTGTGTACGCGCATGGCACGGCATGAAGGTGTGTACGCGCATGGGGGCACGGCATGAAGGTTGTGTACGCGCATGGCACGGCATGAAGGTGTGTACGCGCATGGCACGGCAATGAAGGTGTGTACGCGCATGGCACGGCATGAAGGTGTGTACGCGCATGGGCACGGCCATGAAGGTGTGTACGCGCATGGCACGGCATGAAGGTGTGTACGCGCATGGCACGGCACTGAAGGTGTGTACGCGCATGGCACGGCACGAAGGTGTGTACGCGCATGGCACGGCACTGAAGGTGTGTACGCGCATGGCACGGCATGAAGGTGTGTACGCGCATGGCACGGCATGAAGGTGTGTACGCGCATGGCACGGCATGAAGGTGTGTACGCGCATGGCACGGCATGAAGGTGTGTACGCGCATGGCACGGCATGAAGGTGTGTACGCGCATGGCACGGCATGAAGGTGTGTACGCGCATGGCACGGCATGAAGGTGTGTACGCGCATGGCACGGCATGAAGGTGTGTACGCGCATGGCACGGCATGAAGGTGTGTACGCGCATGGCACGGCATGAAGGTGTGTACGCGCATGGCCACGGCATGAAGGTGTGTACGCGACGCGCATGGCACGGCATGAAGGTGTGTACGCGCATGGCACGGCATGAAGGTGTGTACGCGCATGGCACGGCATGAAGGTGTGTACGCGCATGGCACGGCATGAAGGTGTGTACGCGCATGGCACGGCATGAAGGTGTGTACGCGCATGGCACGGCATGAAGGTGTGTACGCGCATGGCACGGCATGAAGGTGTGTACGCGCATGGCACGGCATGAAGGTGTGTACGCGCATGGCACGGCATGAAGGTGTGTACGCGCATGGCACGGCATGAAGGTGTGTACGCGCATGGCACGGCATGAAGGTGTGTACGCGCATGGCACGGCATGAAGGTGTGTACGCGCATGGCACGGCATGAAGGTGTGTACGCGCATGGCACGGCATGAAGGTGTGTACGCGCATGGCACGGCATGAAGGTGTGTACGCGCATGGCACGGCATGAAGGTGTGTACGCGCATGGCACGGCATGAAGGTGTGTACGCGCATGGCACGGCATGAAGGTGTGTACGCGCATGGCACGGCATGAAGGTGTGTACGCGCATGGCACGGCATGAAGGTGTGTACGGGCATGGCACGGCATGAAGGTGTGTACGCGCATGGCACGGCATGAAGGTGTGTACGCGCATGGCACGGCACGAAGGTGTGTACGCGCATGGCACGGCACGAAGGTGTGTACGCGCATGGCACGGCACGAAGGTGTGTACGCGCATGGCACGGCACGAAGGTGTGTACGCGCATGGCACGGCATGAAGGTGTGTACGCGCATGGCACGGCATGAAGGTGTGTACGGGCATGGCACGGCATGAAGGTGTGTACGGGCATGGCACGGCATGAAGGTGTGTACGGCATGGCACGGCATGAAGGTGTGTACGGGCATGGCACGGCATGAAGGTGTGTACGGGCATGGCACGGCATGAAGGTGTGTACGGGCATGGCACGGCATGAAGGTGTGTACGCGCATGGCACGGCATGAAGGTGTGCACGCGCATGGCACGGCATGAAGGTGTGCACGCGCATGGCACGGCATGAAGGTGTGTACGCGCATGGCACGGCTATGAAGGTGTGTACGGGCATGGCACGGCATGAAGGTGTGTACGGGCATGGCACGGCATGAAGGTGTGTACGCGCATGGCACGGCATGAAGGTGTGTACGCGCATGGCACGGCATGAAGGTGTGTACGCGCATGGCACGGCATGAAGGTGTGTACGCGCATGGCACGGCATGAAGGTGTGTACGCGCATGGCACGGCATGAAGGTGTGTACGCGCATGGCACGGCATGAAGGTGTGTACGCGCATGGCACGGCATGAAGGTGTGTACGCGCATGCGCAAGCGCGCATAGCACGGCATGAGGTGCGCGCATGGCACGGCATGAAGGTGCGCGCATGGCACGGCATGAAGGTGCGCGCATGGCACGGCATGAAGGTGCGCGCATGGCACGGCATGAAGGTGCGCGCATGGCACGGCATGAAGGTAGCGCGCATGGCACGGCATGAAGGTGCGCGCATGGCACGGCATGAAGGTGCGCGCATGGCACGGCATGAAGGTGCGCGCATGGCACGGCATGAAGGTGCGCGCATGGCACGGCATGAAGGTGCGCGCATGGCACGGCATGAAGGTGCGCGCATGGCACGGCATGAAGGTGCGCGCATGGCACGGCATGAAGGTGCGCGCATGGCACGGCATGAAGGTGCGCGCATGGCACGGCATGAAGGTGCGCGCATGGCACGGCATGAAGGTGCGCGCATGGCACGGCATGAAGGTGCGCGCATGGCACGGCATGAAGGTGCGCGCATGGCACGGCATGAAGGTGCGCGCATGGCACGGCATGAAGGTGCGCGCATGGCACGGCATGAAGGTGCGCGCATGGCACGGCATGAAGGTGCGCGCATGGCACGGCAATGAAGGTGCGCGCATGGCACGGCATGAAGGTGCGCGCATGGCACGGCATGAAGGTGCGCGCATGGCACGGCATGAAGGTGCGCGCATGGCACGGCATGAAGGTGCGCGCATGGCACGGCATGAAGGTGCGCGCATGGCACGGCATGAAGGTGCGCGCCATGGCACGGCATGAAGGTGCGCGCATGGCACGGCATGAAGGTGCGCGCATGGCACGGCATGAAGGTGCGCGCATGGCACGGCATGAAGGTGCGCGCATGGCACGGCATGAAGGTGCGCGCATGGCACGGCATGAAGGTGCGCGCATGGCACGGCATGAAGGTGCGCGCATGGCACGGCATGAAGGTGCGCGCATGGCACGGCATGAAGGTGCGCGCATGGCACGGCATGAAGGTGCGCGCATGGCACGGCATGAAGGTGCGCGCATGGCACGGCATGAAGGTGCGCGCATGGCACGGCATGAAGGTGCGCGCATGGCACGGCATGAAGGTGCGCGCATGGCACGGCATGAAGGTGCGCGCATGGCACGGCATGAAGGTGCGCGCATGGCACGGCATGAAGGTGCGCGCATGGCACGGCATGAAGGTGCGCGCATGGCACGGCATGAAGGTGCGCGCATGGCACGGCATGAAGGTGCGCGCATGGCACGGCATGAAGGTGCGCGCATGGCACGGCATGAAGGTGCGCGCATGGCACGGCATGAAGGTGCGCGCATGGCACGGCATGAAGGTGCGCGCATGGCACGGCATGAAGGTGCGCGCATGGCACGGCATGAAGGTGCGCGCATGGCACGGCATGAAGGTGCGCGCATGGCACGGCATGAAGGTGCGCGCATGGCACGGCATGAAGGTGTGTACGCGCATGGCACGGCATGAAGGTGTGTACGCGCATGGCACGGCATGAAGGTGGTACGCGCATGGCACGGCATGAAGGTGCGCGCATGGCACGGCATGAAGGTGCGCGCATGGCACGGCATGAAGGTGCGCGCATGGCACGGCATGAAGGTGCGCGCATGGCACGGCATGAAGGTGCGCGCATGGCACGGCATGAAGGTGCGCGCATGGCACGGCATGAAGGTGCGCGCATGGCACGGCATGAAGGTGCGCGCATGGCACGGCATGAAGGTGCGCGCATGGCACGGCATGAAGGTGCGCGCATGGCACGGCATGAAGGTGCGCGCATGGCACGGCATGAAGGTGCGCGCATGGCACGGCATGAAGGGTGCGCGCATGGCACGGCATGAAGGTGCGCGCATGGCACGGCATGAAGGTGCGCGCATGGCACGGCATGAAGGTGCGCGCATGGCACGGCATGAAGGTGCGCGCATGGCACGGCATGAAGGTGCGCGCATGGCACGGCATGAAGGTGCGCCGCATGGCACGGCATGAAGGTGCGCGCATGGCACGGCATGAAGGTGCGCGCATGGCACGGCATGAAGGTGCGCGCATGGCACGGCATGAAGGTGCGCGCATGGCACGGCATGAAAGGTGCGCGCATGGCACGGCATGAAGGTGCGCGCATGGCACGGCATGAAGGTGCGCGCATGGCACGGCATGAAGGTGCGCGCATGGCACGGCATGAAGGTGCGCGCATGGCACGGCATGAAGGTGCGCGCATGGCACGGCATGAAGGTGCGCGCATGGCAGCGGCATGAAGGTGCGCCGCTATGGCACGGCATGAAGGGGCGCGTCATGCACGGCATGAAGGTTGCGCGCATGGCACGGCATGAAGGTGCGCGCATGGCACGGCATGAAGGGTGCGCGCATCATGGCACGGCATGAAGGTGCGCCGCATAGGCACGGCTAATGAAGGTGTGGTACGCGCATGGTGCACGGCCCCCATGAAGGTGGCATGGCACGGCAGTGAAGGCGACGCATGGACGGCTAGGCAGGGCGCGGATGGCACGGCATGAAGGTGCGCGCATGGCACGCGGCATGAAGGTGCGCGCATGGCACGGCATGAAGGTGCGCGCGATGGCACGGCCATGAAGGTGCGCGCATGGCACAGGCTATGAAGGTGCGCGCATGGCATCGGCATGAAGGTGCGCGCATGGCACGGCATGAAGGTCGCGCGCCATGGGCACGGCATGAAGGTGCGCGCATGGCACGGCAATGAAAGGTGCGCCATGCACGGCATGAAGGTGCGCTCATGGCACGGCATGAAGGTGCGCGCATGGCACGGCATGAAGGTGCGCGCATGGCACGGCATGAAGGTGCGCGCATGGCACGGCATGAAGGTGCGCGCATGGCACGGCATGAAGGTGCGCGCATGGCACGGCATGAAGGTGCGCGCATGGCACGGCATGAAGGCTTGCGCGCATGGCACGGCATGAAGGTGCGCGCATGGCACGGCATGAAGGTGCGCGCATGGCACGGCATGAAGGTGCGCGCATGGCACGGCATGAAGGTGCGCGCATGGCACGGCATGAAGGTGCGCGCATGGCACGGCATGAAGGTGCGCGCATGGCACGGCATGAAGGTGCGCGCATGGCACGGCATGAAGGTGCGCGCATGGCACGGCATGAAGGTGCGCGCATGGCACGGCATGAAGGTGCGCGCATGGCACGGCATGAAGGTGCGCGCATGGCACGGCATGAAGGTGCGCGCATGGCACGGCATGAAGGTGCGCGCATGGCACGGCATGAAGGTGCGCGCATGGCACGGCATGAAGGTGCGCGCATGGCACGGCATGAAGGTGCGCGCATGGCACGCATGAAGGTGCTGCGCATGGCACGGCATGAAGGTGCGGCATGGCACGGCATGAAGGGTGCGCGCATGGCACGGCATGAAGGTGCGCGCATGGCACGGCATGAAGGTGCGCGCATGGCACGGCATGAAGGTGCGCGCATGGCACGGCATGAAGGTGCGCGCATGGCACGGCATGAAGGTGCGCGCATGGCACGGCAATGAAGGTGCGCGCATGGCACGGCATGAAGGTGCGCGCATGGCACGGCATGAAGGTGCGCGCATGGCACGGCATGAAGGTGCGCGCATGGCACGGCATGAAGGTGCGCGCATGGCACGGCATGAAGGTGCGCGCATGGCACGGCATGAAGGTGCGCGCATGGCACGGCATGAAGGTGCGCGCATGGCACGGCATGAAGGTGCGCGCATGGCACGGCATGAAGGTGCGCGCATGGCACGGCATGAAGGTGCGCGGCATGGCACGGCATGAAGGTGCGCGCATGGCACGGCATGAAGGTGCGCGCATGGCACGGCATGAAGGTGCGCGCATGGCACGGCATGAAGGTGCGCGCATGGCACGGCATGAAGGTGCGCGCATGGCACGGCATGAAGGTGCGCGCATGGCACGGCATGAAGGTGCGCGCATGGCACGGCATGAAGGTGCGCGCATGGCACGGCATGAAGGTGCGCGCATGGCACGGCATGAAGGTGCGCGCATGGCACGGCATGAAGGTGCGCGCATGGCACGGCATGAAGGTGCGCGCATGGCACGGCATGAAGGTGCGCGCATGGCACGGCATGAAGGTGCGCGCATGGCACGGCATGAAGGTGCGCGCATGGCACGGCATGAAGGTGCGCGCATGGCACGGCATGAAGGTGCGCGCATGGCACGGCATGAAGGTGCGCGCATGGCACGGCATGAAGGTGCGCGCATGGCACGGCATGAAGGTGCGCGCATGGCACGGCATGAAGGTGCGCGCATGGCACGGCATGAAGGTGCGCGCATGGCACGGCATGAAGGTGCGCGCATGGCACGGCATGAAGGTGCGCGCATGGCACGGCATGAAGGTGCGCGCATGGCACGGCATGAAGGTGCGCGCATGGCACGGCATGAAGGTGCGCGCATGGCACGGCATGAAGGTGCGCGCATGGCACGGCATGAAGGTGCGCGCATGGCACGGCATGAAGGTGCGCGCATGGCACGGCATGAAGGTGCGCGCATGGCACGGCATGAAGGTGCGCGCATGGCACGGCATGAAGGTGCGCGCATGGCACGGCATGAAGGTGCGCGCATGGCACCTGAGGCCCCATGAAGGTGCGCCGCATGGCACGGCATGAAGGTGCGCGCATGGCACGGCATGAAGGTGCGCGCATGGCACGGCATGAAGGTGCGCGCATGGCACGGCATGAAGGTGCGCGCATGGCACGGCATGAAGGTGCGCGCATGGCACGGCATGAAGGTGCGCGCATGGCACGGCATGAAGGTGCGCGCATGGCACGGCATGAAGGTGCGCGCATGGCACGGCATGAAGGTGCGCGCATGGCACGGCATGAAGGTGCGCGCATGGCACGGCATGAAGGTGCGCGGCATGGCACGGCATGAAGGGTGCGCGCATGGCACGGCATGAAGGTGCGCGCATGGCACGGCATGAAGGTGCGCGCATGGCACGGCATGAAGGTGCGCGCATGGCACGGCATGAAGGTGCGCGCATGGCACGGCATGAAGGTGCGCGCATGGCACGGCATGAAGGTGCGCGCCATGGCACGGCATGAAGGTGCGCGCATGGCACGGCATGAAGGGTGCGCGCATAGGCACGGCATGAAGGTGTCGCGCATGGCACGGCATGAAGTGTGTACGCGCATGGCACGGCATGAAGGTGTGTACGCGCATGGCACGGCATGAAGGTGTGTACGCGCATGGCACGGCATGAAGGTGTGTACGCGCATGGCACGGCATGAAGGTGTGTACGCGCATGGCACGGCATGAAGGTGTGTACGCGCATGGCACGGCATGAAGGTGTGTACGCGCATGGCACGGCATGAAGGTGTGTACGCGCATGGCACGGCATGAAGGTGTGTACGCGCATGGCACGGCATGAAGGTGTGTACGCGCATGGCACGGCATGAAGGTGTGTACGCGCATGGCACGGCATGAAGGTGTGTACGCGCATGGCACGGCATGAAGGTGTGTACGCGCATGGCACGGCATGAAGGTGTGTACGCGCATGGCACGGCATGAAGGTGTGTACGCGCATGGCACGGCATGAAGGTGTGTACGCGCATGGCACGGCATGAAGGTGTGTACGCGCATGGCACGGCATGAAGGTGTGTACGCGCATGGCACGGCATGAAGGTGTGTACGCGCATGGCACGGCATGAAGGTGTGTACGCGCATGGCACGGCATGAAGGTGTGTACGCGCATGGCACGGCATGAAGGTGTGTACGCGCATGGCACGGCATGAAGGTGTGTACGCGCATGGCACGGCATGAAGGTGTGTACGCGCATGGCACGGCATGAAGGTGTGTACGCGCATGGCACGCATGGCACGGCATGAAGGTGTGTACGCGCATGGCACGGCATGAAGGTGTGTACGGGCATGGCACGGCATGAAGGTGTGTACGGGCATGGCACGGCATGAAGGTGTGTACGGGCATGGCACGGCATGAAGGTGTGTACGGGCATGGCACGGCATGAAGGTGTGTACGGGCATGGCACGGCATGAAGGTGTGTACGGGCATGGCACGGCATGAAGGTGTGTACGGGCATGGCACGGCATGAAGGTGTGTACGGGCATGGCACGGCATGAAGGTGTGTACGGGCATGGCACGGCATGAAGGTGTGTACGGGCATGGCACGGCATGAAGGTGTGTACGGGCATGGCACGGCATGAAGGTGTGTACGGGCATGGCACGGCATGAAGGTGTGTACGGGCATGGCACGGCATGAAGGTGTGTACGCGCATGGCACGGCATGAAGGTGTGTACGCGCATGGCACGGCATGAAGGTGTGTACGCGCATGGCACGGCATGAAGGTGTGTACGCGCATGGCACGGCATGAAGGTGTGTACGGGCATGGCACGGCATGAAGGTGTGTACGGGCATGGCACGGCATGAAGGTGTGTACGGGCATGGCACGGCATGAAGGTGTGTACGGGCATGGCACGGCATGAAGGTGCGCGCATGGCACATGTTTGGCGTCCACTCCATTCTGGGTGCTTATGTCGATGGTTAAATTAATTACATCATATTGCGTTCTTGTCTTTAACTAGTGATATTACGACAACCTGAGGTCCTTGGCAGGGGGATTCAATTCTGCTTGTCACACCATGTTTGACCACTCACGCTACCTTTTCAACCCCTCTCCCCTCACCCTCACCCGCCATGCGTGGCACCAGCTGCACGACAAGCTAGCAGCATACGCGTCTGACGCAGAGAAGGAGAAGCTGCTGGCGCGGCTGCAGGAGACGGAGGACTGGCTGTATGAGGACGGCGAGAGCGAGAGCAAGGGCGTGTACACCACGCGCCTGGAGGAGCTCAAGCGCCTCGGCGACCCCATTGAGGCGCGCCTCCGGGAGGAAGAGACGCGCCCCGCCGCCCTGCAGTCACTGCAGTACTGCATCGGAAGCTTCCGGGAGGCTGCGCTGTCCACGGATGCGATGTACGCGCACATCGACCCGAAGGAGAAGGCTCAGGTGCGTGCAGAGCAGAGGAGGGATGGGGTTGTTTGTGTGTTGGGGCCCTTCAAGCAGGCACGCAGGGAGGGAGGGATGAAAGATGTGTGCTGGCGTTTGGGTGGTGTTCGTTGTGAGTGGGGAGATAGGGCGACAAGGGAGATGGCGGGGGATTTTAAAAGTGAAGGTCAGGTTCCTCAAAATGAAACTTCACGGAAGGAGAATGAATGAATGGGAAGTTATCATGGTCAAAATCGTGTGCCGCTCCTCTCTCTCACCTCCTCCTACCTCACTTGCTTTATCTACGTCCTTCCCCACGTGCCGCACACAGGTGGTGGAGGAGTGCAACAAGGCGGAGATGTGGCTGAGGGACATGCTCTTCCAGCAGCAGAAGCTGAGCAAGAAGGACACCCCCGTGCTGCTCGCTGCCGACCTACGGAAGAAGGCAGAGACCCTCGACAGGTGGGCATGGGAGCAGTCATGTGCCATTAGCTTGTCTGGGATTTGGCTGTGCTTTGTGGCTTGTGTGCAGATTCTTGCTGCTGCCATGGCTGACTTATCTTCATTGTATGTGTTGCGTTGCCTTTTGCTTTGTGTGTCTCTTGCTGGCAGGTTCTGCAAGCCTATTATGACCAAACCCAAACCAGCTCCCAAGCCTGCTTCCGAGCCCAAGCCCGAGCCTGCTCCCGAGGCTCCTAAGGCAGGTGGTGAGCCGATGGAGACGGAGGGGGCTGCAGGAGAGGGTGCCGCAGCGGCAGGTGGCGAGGCGGCAGCTGGAGATGCTAAACCTGCTGAGGGCGAGGCCATGCAAACAGAGTAGAGCGTCAATGGAGAATGGTAGAGTACGGTACCATAGTTTTGGAGCCAGGTATAGATTTGTTTCCCTCCACGTTTGAAGCGGGGCATGCAGATTTGCAATGGGTTTGTTAGTCTCCTGTACCAAACTTTACAGTGCGCTCTTGGGCGCGTTTGGACTGACCAGTCACCAGGGGCTTGAAGACGCGTCCGACTGCACAATGGAGCCGTTGTAATGCACCAAGCTGAACCACTTGATTAATGAATTTCTGACTGTGCCATCGATGAAAGATGCTGCCATGATTTTTTTTTTTGGGCCCCTATCCGTTGTCTCTAAGATGAACAGAAGAGAATTCCTACAAAAGGATAGGGCCCATATGCGTGTCAGCAGTTCGACCTCTATCGGAGCACCCTTGCCAGTCTAGAAAATTGCTTGTGGAGGCGGCGATCCCAAGGCTCAACAATTCAATCTCCAACTTCATCTGTCCTACCTGTTCTGCTCTTGATCTACTAACGGTTGTCATGGCAGCACCAGTCTAGGAATAGTCTGTTCGCGATGTCGACATCATAGCCGTTGTAATCCGTGTCTCCGTCTGGTCCTTGGAACCCAACCCCCTTTCGCGCGCTTCCGGGTAGTCAGATTTCACGAGTAGTTGAAACAACTGATCATACCCCGCATCGTCCCGCAGGCTGCCAGCCATGTCCTTCTCCATGGATTTCCGCTCGCTGGGCCGAGACCTTGCCCTCGCGTCGCAGAGCGCGGTCGGCTCGTCCAAGGACTTTCTGGACCTAGTTAAAGCCATAGGAGAGGCTAAGTCGAAGGCGGAGGAGGATAGGATTATGGCAGGGGAGCTGGAGCTGCTTAAAAAGAAGATATCTGAGCCAGACGTGCCTAAGAAGCGAATGAAAGAGTACATCCTTCGTCTCATGTATCTCGAGATCCTGGGCCACGATGCGTCGTTCGGTTACATCCACGCCGTGAAGATGACACACGACGACAACCTTCTGTTGAAACGCACGGGTTATCTCGCGTGTACGCTTTTCCTGGACGACTCGCACGATTTGATCATCTTGATAGTCAACACGATTCAGAAGGATCTTAAATCCGATAATTACCTCGTCGTATGCGCGGCGTTAGGAGCCGTCTGCAAATTAATCAACGAGGAAACCATTCCGGCGGTCTTGAACCCAATAGTAGACCTCCTTAAGCATCCCAAGGAGCTGGTCCGGAAGAAGGCGGTGATGGCGCTACAACGCTTCCACCAGCGATCGCCGTCCAGCGTGTCGCACGTGACGGAGAAGTTTCGCCAGGCGCTGTGCGACAAGGACCCGAGCGTGATGAGCGCGTCGCTGTGCGGCCTGCACGACCTGATCGCGGCGGACCCCGCGCCGTACCGCAACCTGACGGCGTCGTTCCTGAGCATCCTGAAGCAGGTCGCCGAGGGCCGTCTGCCCAAGTCCTTCGACTACCACCGCGTGCCCGCGCCCTTCATCCAGGTTGGCACCCCAACTCCCTACCCCCATGGGCCATCTCAACGGTCATCAACTTCTACTGTTGCTCCAGCTTCCCCCAGTCCCCTCCGTGCATGCATCGAGCGACAGCTATTGCACCTCCGGTCCTTGGACGAGTGCAACTGCTGGAAGGCAACGCCTTTGTGTGTCCCCACTCTGACCTCATCAGTCCCTTCTCGCCTTCACCGCACCCCGTGGTCCCCCCGGCGTCACGCAGATAAAGCTGCTGAAGCTGCTGGCGCTGCTGGGCGCCAACAACCAGGCGGCCAGCGAGCCCATGTACCCCGTCATCGCTGACGTCATCAGGCGCATCAGCGAGTCGCAGCCCAAGGCGGGGACGACGGGTCGGCGGGACGACTCGCAGGTGACAGCTGGCAACGCGATCCTGTACGAGGCGATCCGCACGGTGGCTGCAATTCACCCGAGCGAGCAGCTGCTGGCGTCGTGCGCCGCCATCACCTCCTCCTTCCTCAAGGTGCCCCGCCTGCCTGCTCTCCCTCGCTCCTCCTCCCTCCCCATCCCAACCCCTTTCTCTTTCATCGCTCGTTCCCGCCCCGCGTACCTTCCCTCCTTTCCCTTACCACACACCCCAATGCATCCTCATTTCGTGTGAAGCAGCAAGGGCAAGGTTGTAAGCGCTCTGCCATCTGACCTCTTCCCACCATTTCTGTGCCCCACTCCTCCCACGTACTTCCCGTGCGCACCACCCCTGCCATCTTCGTCTCCCACGCTCCACCCCACGCCCTCCCCACTCTCTGTCACCCATGCAGAGCAGCGTGCACAACCTGCGGTACATGGGCGTGGACTGCCTGGCGCAGATCGTGCGCATCAACCCCGACCTGGCCACGGAGCACCAGATCGCCGTCATTGACTGCCTTGAAGACCCTGACGACTCACTAAAGCGCAAAACACTTGATCTCCTTTACAAGATGACGGGCCCGGGGAACGTGGAGGTGATAGTGGAGCACGTGCTGCAGTACCTGCGCGGGCTGCGGTCGGGGGATGATGCGCACGCGCATGGGCGCGCTGACCTGGCGGCGAGGATTGTTGAGCTGGCGGAGAGATTTGCGCCGTCCAATGAGTGGTTCATTCAGGTGAGGGGGTTGTGGGGGATTGAGTGGGGAATGCGGTGGAGGATGGTGGGAGGCATGTAAGGGGTGGAGTGGGGGAGGTCGAGGCACATGCTACTACAGTCATTTCATCATCTCCTAATGTCTTCACACCATTCTGCACCATTCTCACTGTCTCTGTTGGTCCTCCTCCCTTTCCCCCCCTTCCTCTCCCCCCTCCACCTCCCGCGCCCTCCTTCACACCTTTCCGCGGGCAGACGATGAACAGTGTGTTTGAGGTGGCGGGGGACGTGGTGCGCCCCAAGGTGGCGCACGACCTCATGCGCCTCATTGCTGAGGGATCGGGCGGTGACAACGACGACGCCGACTCGCGCCTGCGCTCCTCCGCTGTGGGTGCCCATGCCGTCTCGCCCTTGCATCGCAACGCAAACACAGTAATTCCAACATGATTTCTTGTTTGTTTGGTGGTTTGTTCTGCATCTTGTAGGTGTGACGTGTCTTCCACATGACCTACCTGTCTCCTCATCCACCATCCGATCCTTTCCGCCCTTTCGCCATCATCCCATGGCCACACACAGGTGCAATCATACGTGAAGCTGCTCAAGGAACCGAACCTGCCCACGCTGCTGCTCCAGGTGCCCGCTCTTCTGCCACTCCGTGCTTGCTCCTCGTTCTTGCCTTGCGTCTTTCCAGCACACACTCTTTTGCTCAGTCTTCTTTCATGTTCCCCTTCGTTCCCTGACTCACTGCTTGCACCCGGCAGGTCATATGCTGGGTGTTGGGGGAGTATGCCACGTCAGACGGCCACATGTCAGCGGATGAAGTTATGGCAAAGCTGTGTGACGTGGCAGAGGGCCATGACACCGACGACACTGTCCGGGTGCGTGATGTCATCCTTACTTCATCAAACACGCTCTTTTACTCTCTAGTCACATCCCCTTTGCTTCCTCCCTCTCTGCTGCAGCATGGGATGTCGTATCTTTCACAATCAAGGTCTAAAGTGAACCGATTATGCGACACCGATATTGCTGCCCTCGCTTGAGATGCACACGCTACCGGCCCCCCTCTCACCGCCCCACTGCTTCTCCCAGGCGTACGTGCTATCAGCCATGGCAAAGGTGGTGGCGTATGAGGCGGCGTGCGGGCGGCAGGCACGGCTGTCGGGGGAGGCGGGGGCGCTGGTGGAGGAGATGGTGGCGGCGCACAGCACGGACGTGCAGCACCGCGCCTACCAGCTGCAGGCACTGCTCGCCCTTCGCCCCGACACCCTCGCTGCCGTGCTGCCCGTCGATGCTAGCTGTGAAGACATTGAGGTGTGATGTTAGGGGCGTTTAGGGGCTATGCAGTGCTAGTTGCTAAGCATGCATGTGCACAACAAGGGAATTTGATGCGTTTTTGTTCTGTTTTTTTTTTTTTTTTCCAGTTCCTGCATGCTCATCGTTTCCATCCATGCGTGACCCTGCCCCTCGCTTCTTTGTCTGTCTGTCCAGATCGACCCGGCGCTGCCCTTCCTGGACCAATATGTGGCGGACTCGCTGGCAGCGGGGGCGCGCCCCTACCTCTCGGAGTCGGACCGCCTCAACTTCTCCGTGGGTGCAGATGCCACCTCCCTCGCCTCCTCCCTGCACGACTCCTCTGCATCTGCTGCCGCGCGCCACTCAGACCGCACGCTGCGCTTTGAGGCATACGAGCAGCCCAAGCTGCCCGCCGCACCCCTCACTGCCTCACAGCGTGGCGGCACCGGTGGCGGTGCGTTCTCCTCCTCTGCTGCTGCCTATTCGTCCGCGAATCCTCCTCCTGCCCTCTCTGCTACTTCGTCTGGAGGGTTCCGGGAGTCGTCCGGTGGGGCCTATGGGGGAGGGGAGGCGAGCAGCGGCGGTGGGGGAGGTGCAGCAGATGGTGCTAGGCTGAACCTCTCAGGCGTGCAACGGAAGTGGGGCCGTCCTGCTGCGTCCCCTCCGTCTGCTGCTCCTTCTTCTTCCGCTCCTGCAGGACCTTCTGCTGACTCATTTTCTATCCGTGCTGACTCATCTGCTTCAGCAGCAGGAGCAGGGGTTGCAGCATCAGGCGCAACCGCAGGGAGAGGGGGGAGAGCGAGTGAGAGCAGTCAAGTGAGCGAGGAGAAGCAGAGGCTGGCAGCGAAGCTGTTTGGGGGCAAGGGAGCAGCAGGTGGGGGTGCAGCCGCTTCATCTGGCCTGGCAGGGACGAGGTCTGAGCCAAGAACGGTGGGGGCAGGAGGGCCGTGGGGCAAACGAGGGTCTGGAGGAGCAGCAGAGGGCGCTGCAGCAGATGGTGCTGCTTCCAGTGCTCCTGCACCCCCTCCTGCCCCTGCTGCCCCCGTGGCTGACCTGTTGCTGATGGATCTCAATGATGACCCGCCCCCAGCGAACATGGCATCCATGCTTGACAGCTCAGCAGCAGCCCCTGCCAGTACAGCTGGTACTGCTTCATTGGACCCTTTCAAGGCTCTGGAGGAGCTGACAGTGATGCCAGCTGGTGAACCGCTATTGGCTGAGATCAGCATGAGTGGCGGTTCGTCTGCCAGCATGAGCTCAACAGCCACTGCATCTCCTGCACCTGCACTCTCTGGTGCGGTTGGTGCTGCGGATAAGTCAGCGAACGGAGCAGCCATCGGTGGGGCGGTGGCCATTGGTGGGCGAACAGCAGTGGGTGCTGCAGCTGCAGCAGGTGCAACAGCCAAGGGCCGAGATGCTGCTGCTCGCAGAGTTGGAGTGGTCACTCCAGAGTCGGGCGCAAACCCTGAACTGTTCAAGGACCTGTTTTGATCAAGAAACGCTAATGAAGGTTTCGAGAAGGTTTTCCCTTCGTATCGTTGTAGGCCCATGATTTAAGAGAACACTCGAGTAAAATAGGCTGGCTCGTGGGCCGTTGAGGCTGAATGTTCTTAAGCCATGTATCAAGTGACAACTCTTGCCGCTGGTTCTTGTATGAATTTAGCAGTAGCTGGTGGATGGTGTTGCAAAATCTCTCGTGAAAGCACATTCAGTTGAGATTGATACAATCTTTCAGATTTGTTCCTCAAATGCACTCCTACCGGTACCGGTACGATATGTTTGCTCCATGCCTGGGAAATATGTCCCTGCCTGGGGAAGTTTTGCAACAAGTCATTGTAAGGCCATCGGTGAGAGAGCACACCTGTTTCCATGGCAATGGATACTATCTTGGTGAAAAGAGCATCAGATTTACAAAAACCTGGATAAGAGGGGTGTTCCGAGAATTGAACTCGGGACCTCTCGCACCCTAAGCGAGAATCATGCCACTAGACCAAACACCCACGCATCTTAGGTCTTTGTGAATTTATCATTAAAAAAAAACGCGTGAATTTTACGTCAGAGCAGTTACAACTGGTTGCAAGAACTTCCAGTCACCTTAGGACGAGTGCTTAGTGTTGAAGGCGGTGAAACAGCAGGCCTTTCGTCAAGATTCTCCTTTGGTTGCTACGTGTGGTTAAGACGCAGTTGGTTATATTATACTCGCCTTATCTCCCCTGCTGAACGATGTGATGGGCGAAGACATGCACGATCATGCGAAACATAACTTCATGATTGTCCGTTCTTGCATCTACGTACGTATAACTAATTTGACTACTAAATCAAGGAATTTGAAGACAACAAGACGGACTAGCAATGAAAGAGTTTCAGGATGTGGAGGAACAAGATGGATGGAGGGATGGGAGGGAAGAGAAATGGAGGGAGGGAAGGAGGAAAGAAGGAAGTGAAGGAGGTGAAATTGTCACCAAGGCGACCACGTCGCGGTGGAGGGTATGTGCTTCGAGATCCTCGCGTAACATGTGAGGAAGTCCAGCGTGGCTGCCCTGTCAGCGAAGTAGCTGCCTGCCTACCCTCAGATCAACGTTTACGAATGGTATCTGGGCGTTGGAATCCAAGATGGATGGAAGGATTGTTATTGGTTGAAAACGAAGTCACTTTCACATGAATGGTTGTGCGCCTGTCCAGCATGCGTCTGGTGCTGACGAAACAGATCTTCAACGTGAGGCTTCTCGATGTTCCACCAGCAGAAGTTTTCCAGTAATGGGCAGCCTGCAAACCGCCAGACCACTGATTCGTCAAAGAATACTTTTCTTCCTGACCATCCACGCCTAAACATGTCTCAAAAAACAATTTCTTCGTGTCGCAACACAACCCTCGATATTTTCCGCACACCACAATCCGTCATTCTCCCAACTTCGAGGAGTCCAACACTCAAGTGTGCTCTGCTGTGCTCCCTCTAACCCCTCCCCTCCACGCCCGTCTTCCATCACCATCTCATGGCGTCCCTCTACTCTCCTGATCGTTTGGATCTGTTCCCAAGGGCCGTGGTGGACTAGCTTCAGTTCAGGCAATCATTTGGGAGGAATATCTTTCCCGAAAAAACACATCGCTGCTTCAGTGTTTGGTCCGATCGGCCTGACGAAACAGCAACTGCTCACTTAGGGTTGTTCCGTGGTACCTGTGTACGTCGAAGTTAGGATTTTAGGACCTTGGATGCTAGGAATGATGGGTGTTTGTTAGGTGCTATAGACTGACTGCACAGCCAAGTTCAATGGCTGCACTTACTAACAATACTTCGTTGATAGACAAAACGGTTGTAGGATCTAAGAAGCTCTCCAACCTTTCCCGATCAGCCAGCTCTCGAGATAGAGCTCAGCAAAGGTTTCGCCCCGATACGCTAGTGTCAATTAATGGAGGCGATAAGCGTGGATTCAGATCCAGCAAAAGCCTCACAGTGAAGGCCAGCTTTTCTGGGTCTCGATCCTCGCAAAGGTAAGTGTGGGCCCCTGGTTTTTTGTCCGTTCGAGCCAGTGGTCATGCAATAGCTCTCATTGGTCCAGTTTCCCGTGACAACTAAGCGGGCATTCGCGCATGAATCGCAGGTGGCAGAAAGGCGGAGCGCAATCAGACAACGAACACTCGAAGCACTTCCTTCGCCAGTGCGCACCCAATCCCCGAGACGTCCCCCCACGTAGAGGTCTGTTCCAGAGCACCTCGTAAAGTTCTCTGCTTACATCCACCTTCGGGATGCGTCGTTCGTTTCATGCACATTCGCGACTAGCACGTTTCTCAAAATGAACTGTTCCATGATCTGCGTGCTTTGCAGCTGCGCCGCCTGCTGGCGGCTGGCGGGAAGACACTGGAATAGCCAGTGAAAAGGACTGGGGCATAGATCTGAAGAGCCAACCAGTGAACGAATGCGGCATAAACGAGGATGGCAGCACGTGGTACAGAGAGAGCGGAGAGGACATGGGGGACAATGGCTATCGGTGCCGATGGACCATCATGGGTGGACGACACCCCAACGGGGCGTCCGAGTGGAAGGAAACTGTAAGCTTGCATATCGCATCGCCTCTCTATTCAATCTAATCTCTTCCCGGGACACGTTGGCACGTTTAAAACCTCTGCAGTGTCCCTTGTTGAAGCGCTGAGAACGTTTCGAGGTCGCATCCGTTTCTAAGACCTATTTCTCCATTTGTGCTCTCTCTATCTCCTTGATCGCCGTGGGACGGGATCGCGGCGGGGCGCAGTGGTGGGAGAAGAGCGACTGGACGGGGTACAAGGAGCTGGGCGCGGAGAAGTCGGGCAGAAACGATCAAGGAGATAGCTGGTGGGAGACGTGGCAAGAAGTATACGTTGTGGATAACTGGAGGTAATTTGCCGCGCGCTCTGAGTGCACAGATACCTGTTTTGTTGCACATCCGACCCACCCACCCACCGTTGCCGTTTCGTTTTCGCTGTTTCGTCGTTGCCGTTCTCATTTGCTCTCTAGTCAATCATGTCAGCCTCTCGGCCCTCATTAGATCCTCCCTCGCTCTTCTCGCCCGTGTGCTCTCCCCTGATGATTTGGCGCCTCTGCAGCGGCATTCCGAGAATAGAAAGAAGCGCGCATAAACAAGCCAAATCAAGACAAGAAAACGTCTGGAATGAAAAATGGTGAGTCGTGATCCTTTGGTAGTCTCCAAGGACGATGTCGTATCGAATCGTAAGATTGCCCTGCCGTTTTACGCAAGAAGCGATGACAATTCCGCTTTTCCCCGCGTGCAGTGCGGATCACGTGCTGCACAGTGGGCTCATTCCCCTCGTCATCGTTTGCTGTGGCGCCCCCTCTGGTTGGCAGGTGGGAGAAGTACAACGGTAAGGGGTGGACGGAGAAGGGGTCGCACAAGTACGGCCGGTCCAACGACCAGTCGTGGTGGGAGAAGTGGGGCGAGCAGTACGACGGCCAGGGCATGGTGCTCAAATGGTGAGACCCTCCTGCTCTCGCGGTGAGAGCCTCGTGCCCGCCCACTCACGAATGTTAGGAGTTCTTGCAAGTACACGAGTGCACAGAGCTCCTTCTGCGAATCCGCAGACTATGATCCTTGTTAACAAGCGTAGGGAGGCAACTGAACTGACACACAAGGAAACAAATACTAGATTGCATGAGCACCGCCATAAGCAGGTCGTCACACGCCTTTGGCTTATCCAGGGCTCCCCCTCTCGTCCACCCGCCGCTCTCTCTCCCTCCCTCCCTTGCTCCCACCCTCCCTTCCCCGCCTCCCTCTCTTTCGCTCCTTATCCTGGCCCGTTCCACGACCTATACACTCTCTCTCTCTCTCGCACCACGCTCACACCACTGGTACCGACCGCTTCTCACGTCCACACTATGCTTGGTGCTCTTGCACCGCTTCCTTGCACGCGTGGCACTTGCGTCCCGCGACTAGCATGCGTGTTGGCACGAGCATGACCACTTCCATCCACACACTCTGTGCCGTCGCGTGCATGCGCCTAACGACCGTGCTGTACCTCGCTGTGCTGCACTGCACCATGTGCAGGACGGACAAGTGGGCGGAGAAGGATGACGGCACCAAGTGGGGCGACAAGTGGGAGGAACGGTTCACATCGGGTGTGGGGCACAGACAAGGGGAGACCTGGCACGTGGAGAACTCAGGCTCCCGTAAGTGCATGCCCGCTTGCTCGGGGTCTTTAGCCGCTTAGTGCTCGTGTGGACCTGCTGCCGATTGGCCCCCTTGCTCATTGCAATATATGTTGATTGTTTGACGATGCATCCTCAAGGACACAGTGCGAGCTCCTATTGATGATGGTGGGGATGATGTAATTGAGTTTTCACACAATGCAGCTCTCCAGAGAGCACACTTCCAGCTGTAGTCACATCCCCGCACGTAACTCACAAGTTCCCTTTCCCTTGTCACGGTGTTTTGTGTGGCTGTGCAGGCTGGTCAAGAACATGGGGCGAGGAGCACTTTGGGGATGGGTAAGATTGTGTGCATCTCATTCAGTTTAGTATGTGCACTACATGTGCTCATGCGCTCATGTGTCAGTGACATATTATGTTTATTCCCGTGTTCGAAACTCATGTGTTCCTCTCCCCAATGCGTGCCGCTGGCTGCAGGATGGTGCACAAGTATGGGAGGAGCACGAGCGGTGAACAGTGGGATGTGGTGGTGGCTGAGCCAACATACTATGAGTAAGCACGTCCTTCCATCACCTCACATGCACCCGTGCATAGCACACCATCATGTGCACACGTGCAGATGTCTCATTGTGGATGTGTGATGCTGTGGAACTGGCTCCTCCTTGTCTGTGCTCTCATTGAGACCCTGTGCTTGGATGTGATGGGGTGTTGTTCATGGCAGGGGGAAGCCACACTACGGCTGGGATGAAGCTGTGGCCAACTCCTCACAACTGCTATCCATTGAGATCAGGGACCGCACAGAACCCAGTGCATTTGGAGACTACGGGCGATCACAAGGCATAAACCCAGCAGTTCAAGACGATTACCCTCACAATGGCAGACCACCCATGTATGACAGTTCCTCGTGAAGGTTTAGGCGGCTTGCGAATACAGTATGGCTTATCAGGTATTCTCCATTGCTCGAGTTTACAGAATGCAGTGGAGTCCAGGTTTAGTTCTCATCTTGAGCCAGAAATACACTGTCGTGGCGATTCTTGGAATTATTTCTATTATTGGAGCAAAACAGGTTAGGAATCATCTGGCCTCCTTGTATACCAGCCACGGTGTAAGGACAGCGAATTATAATGTATACTGTACACTAGTTCTAGTGATCGAGCTGTACCGTCACGTTTAAACGGGGAACCCTCAATGCGATAACTGCGTGGTCTCAATGTTTCTCCCAGCCTTAGGGAGCATTCGACCTCTCCGTGTGAGCCTCAAGCTAACTCAACCCCACAGCAGCGTCGGGCTTGGTTGTGTGCAGAACAGAGGCCTTCCGTCGCTGCTGACAGCGATGTCCTCTTAATCGTAGGACTAAGCCATGTTCCGAGGCTGCCACGTGGGGACTGGCTGCAGATTAGCATCGGCCTCTGCTATGCTTGGAGCCGACCTTGGGGTTGCTACTGAGCAGAGCGGTCGCCCTACCAGCTGCACATAGGATATGTGGAACCGCTCTTATGCCGTTCAGTTGCCAAACGCAGATGCTAGTCATTGCCATATGAACTGAAATAAAGCTCTGGGTCTTGAACTTGGTTCTGCGACTGCGTTTTTCTCGCATGGAACTATTACCTGCTCGAATTATTCAAGCTCCAGGTTTCTCAGTCTGAGATCAATTTCGCATCGCAGGATTTATCTAATGGCTCCGAGACGAGGCACAGAGCATCACGGAGCTGCACCAGTAAAAACGATCCGGCAAATGTCATGTCGCTTCCAGATCCTTCTGCTCTGCGTGGTTCTTCTGTCAAGCTGTGTGCATGAGCATGCTGCTGTTAGCGGAGATTCCATTCCAGATGGTGCCGTCAGAGCAGCAAGAGATGCCATTCAGGCTCAGCTTGACCGCCTCAGCTTGTCTCTTCAGCACCATTCCCCCGTGCCAACCGGCATGTTCGCTGCTGACCTCACAATCATGCCACCCAACACTGCCACGTGGAAACTGAACTCCACTCAAGCGCGAGCCAGGCTGATGAAGTACCTGAAGCATTCTGAATTGAAAATATACTTCTCAATCTCAAAGCTACTGGTGGGTGTGGCTAACGTGGGGAAGATGCTCCTTGAAAACCAACAGGTGAAGAATCAGCAGCACAAGAAACAGCACAAGAGGTGGCACGTTGCACTATCACTTGTAGGGTACAGAGCTGTGTTCATGGATTCACAGGGACGATGTAGACAAAGCAGCATACAGGGTTCTGCCTTGGCTCTCTGGCTGAAAGTCCCGGTATGCCGTAAAGATGCGTACAAGAGAGCTCGGAAAGGGAATGTGATCCATGACAAGTGCGCCGCAGAAGCAGATGACCTGAGGGACGCACATGGCTCATGGCAAGTTGTGCTGGGGGGTTGGACGGCCTACGGTGGTGGTAATCATGCACTGGAATCCCACACCACAAGCAGAACCACTGGCGCTGAACGCAGCAGTGCCGTGCAACCTGCATTGAACACAGTGCTGCTGAGAACAGGCTTCTCAGGTGTGTCAAATGGCAAGGACCAGCCTCGCCCTCCCGCAGTATCACGAGTGAAGGAAGCGATTGAGCATGCCCTGGAGCTGATAGGTGACGCCCTGGCTGCTGGGGACAGTGCCAGTGCTGCAAGGCTCTTCTCCCCGCGTGCCATCATCATGCCACCTGACCAGCCCGAACGGCAGTTCCAGTTCTCGTTTCAGCTCCAGCAGTACCTCCAGGTGAGCCCCGTCCCCTGCTGCGTGCTCCTCAGTTCCTCCTGCGTGCTTCCCAGTCCCCATCGTGCCTCCACTGACATGACGTGTGACAATGGGCAGCCACTGGCGTCGCGTCATCTCCAATTCAGCTTCCACATGGAGGAAGTTGTGGATATTTTCACACCCAAGGACATGCTTGGTGGGGAAGCAGCCGTGGATGCACTTAGTGACGCAGCTAGCCAGGCGGACAAGGCTCTGAGCAGAGGACAGTTCACAGCCAAGAAAACTTCAGGTACGGCCATGCTCTGCTGCGTTGTTATTTTGCCCAGTGCAAGTGCGCTGATCATGCTCGTCTGGCACTGCATGGGTGCAGGCAGAGTGGTGCAGAGCGGCAAGTTCATCGCGCTGTGGGAGGTGGGCCCTGCAGGCAAGCCCTCCTGGGGTGTGGCAGCTGGAGCGAGTGCGGAGGAGCGCAGTGGGAGGGGCGAGGGACGAAGGGCGCTGGTGGAGGAACCTGTGGGCGGCAGTGGTGGGTTGCGTGACACTTTGCATGGGCGGCCGTCCCTGCCTGGTGCACGCATAGCCTGGCTCATGTGGACCCGCAACGCCCCCTCTCCTGCTCCTCCTCCGCCTCCGCCTACCCCTCCCACTCCCACTCCCACCTCACCACCTCCAATCCCTCCTCCACACCCCTCTCCATCTTCCCCTCCTCCATCCCCTCCTCCATTCCCCCCTACTCCATCCCCTCCCTCTTCCCCTCCTCCATCCCCTCCCTCCTCCCCTCCTCCACCCCCTCCCTCCTCCCCTCCTCCACCCCCTCCCTCTTCCCCTCCTCCATCCCCTCCATCTTCCCCTCCTCCATCCCCTCCCTCCTCCCCTCCTCCATTCCCCCCTCCTCCATCCCCTCCCTCTTCCCCTCCTCCATCCCCTCCCTCCTCCCCTCCTCCACCCCCTCCCTCCTCCCCTCCTCCATTCCCTCCATCTTCCCCTCCTCCATCCCCTCCCTCCTCCCCTCCTCCATCCCCTCCCTCTTCCCCTCCTCCATCCCCTCCCTCCTCCCCTCCTCCATCCCCTCCATCTTCCCCTCCTCCCTCCCCATCCCCACCGTCTCCTACTCCTCATCCTCCTCTGCCGCCTCCCAGTCCTCCTCCTCCCCCCTCTCCACCACCAAGTCACCCTCCCTCTCCCCACCCTTCCCCTCCTAAACCACCCCCTCCCTCTCCTCCGCATCCTCCCCCTTCACATCCCCCTCCTCCGCCTCCCCAGCCTCCTCAGCCTCACCCCTCTCCCTCTCCACCTCCTCCTTCTCCCCTTCCTCTCCCTCCTCACCGTCCCCCTTCCCCTCATCCCCCACCTCCACCCCATAATCCCCCCCCTCCACTACCCCCACCTCCCGCACCCCCGTCCACGCCCTATAAGCCACCGCCGTCGCCACCACCACTTCATCCATCGCCCTCCCCACCATCACCACCACACCGCTCCCCTCCCCCACCTCCTCCCCAGCCCACACAACCAGCCCCAGCCCCACCGCCTCCTCCCCGTTCACCCACAACACCGCCGCCCCCTCCGCATGCACGCAGCAGCAGGGTGGCAGTGCTGCTGCGGGCGAGGCAGCACATGGTGCACCGCCATGCCGCACTCGGGCTGCCCTCCCTTGCATCGCTGCTCTCCCGCCTGCTGCCCTCCCTGTGTCATGCCCCACAGGGTGCCACACAGCTGCTCTCCACGAGCAGCGACGAGCACAGCCCTTCTGCCAGCCCCCATGCATCGCAATAGTGTAGCGCTATTTCCCTGTTAGATGTGTGTTAGGATGATTGGTGCTTGTGTAGTGTGGTGATATCTGATGCACTGATACATAGACGGATGGTCGTGCTTGTAAGGTAACTGATAGACGTTAGATTACAATGGATGAGTCCCGCATAACATGCAAGCCGGGCCTTGCTGCCCGTTTGACAGCAGCACATGGTGCGGTGTGGTGGACAACTTCAAACTGAATCCATGTTTCCATCCCCTTAGCAGCTATGTACTCTTGCTGAACGATGGCTGTGGGTGCTTGTGGAGGGCGTGATTCAGAAAGCAACTACGATTCATCAGCAGCTCATGGTCTCTTGCTGATGCGCGTCTCTGTTGATATCGTGATGTGCTGCACGCAAGTGAAAGGGGGGAGGTATGGGCGAGTACGGTATAAGAACCACATAGAGCATCTTGTGCAGGCAGGCAGTATGAAGGAAATGTACGGTATGCTAGTGCGAGTGGGGCGCGCAGCAAGTACCTCGAGATGACCCTGGGCGGAGTAGTCAAAGCGAGAGACGATGGCCCTGTCGGCCTCCACAAGCCAGCCCGCCTTGAGGATCACCCCACCACTGGGCGTGGGTAGCACCCTCGACCACACGCCCTGCCATGGGGAGGCCGCACGGGCGATGGTCAAGCAGAGCATTGATTGGAATCAGAGGGCAGGTGGGTGCACCGATGGTGCCATGCTGCGTTGCTGCTATACAAGGGCGGCTGGGAAGGAGAAGTATTGACCTGCCCTGAGAGCCACCCGCAATCCCCATTGCTTGCAGCAAGCTACGCATTGCTGGCTGCAGCATGTGCTGTGAAGCTGACGTCAGGTGCAGTCGTCCTCTCACCGCACCGACACCTCCATTGCACTTTGTCGCTCACACACTTCTCTTACCTGAGGAAGCAGCACGGAACCTTCGTCTGTTAGCTCCCTGGTGACCTCCTCAGTGCCGGCCGGCTTCAGCTCCACCACCGCCCCCCGCCGCCCATACTCGTCGCCCTGCTCCGCGGGGGAGGAGGAGGGGGGTGGGAGGGGAGGGAAGGGTCATGAGGGCCCGGCAGAGTGAAGCACAATGCTAATCGTTGTCGGCTGGATGGGTTTGCCCTCCTCGGAGCTCCGTGGAAGGGAGGTTATGACGGAGACTGCACAGCAATGTGGTGTGGGGGGAAGGACAGTCAGAGGGGATGGCAGGGGGTGGGTGGGCAGGAAGGGAGGCAGTGCGATGGACGGACGAGATTCATTGTGTCCCACATGACATGTATGTCAAGCATATCTCTCGCTCACGGATCGCCCGTTCCATAAATTGTGTTCTTTCTTCTTCACCACTCTCGCCTCACTGCCCATCGGCTCTGCTCCGCACATCCCCCCACCTACCCTCCTCACACACACCATCTGCGCCATGCAGCGCGCCGAGCTCACCAGTTTGAGGTCGGCGCGCATGGCGGAGGCGAGCCAGCGCCCCTCCACGGCCTCGATGCCCACGGGCGGGCCCTCCGCGAACTCCGACGACTCGTTCGCGCCGTCGGGCTCGGCGCGCCACTGGCCCACCCACCGCTCGCGGAACAGCGTCATGCCCAGCAGCTGCGGCAGGTGCCCCTCGTCCCCCACCCCGCCCGCCGCCCCCTCGCCCTTCTGAAAACGCTGCACCACGCGCACGCGCACGCGCTCGGGCTTGCCGTCGGTCTGCGCGTCCGGGTTTTCCGCGACGAGGCAGTGCTCCAACTCGAAGAACTGCGACGCGTCGCCGCTGCCGCTGCCCTGCCGAACCACTACGTGAGCCGCGTTCACGCCAGGCTCGGAAGCAGGCTCGGAAACGGATTTCCCGGGCCAGGCGACGGCGTAGCAGCCGTCGTCGCGGAAGCCAAGCACGCCCGCCGCGTCCTGCCCGATCCCCGCCGCGCGCCGATCCACGCTGTAGCGCGACGCCGCGCCGCCGCCGCCGCCAAAGCCAAGCGACGGCAGGAAGCGCTCGGAGACGGTTTGGACTTCCCCGGTAGAAGCATCCGCGTTAGTGGAGCTGTGCGCTTGCCACGCGAAGAGCGCGAGGCCCCAGTCGCAAAAGGGCGGCGGAATGGCCTCCCTTGGGATCTCCGTCTCTATCCCGTCGGGGCAGAAGTCCGATGAGTACCCCGCCCATTCCCCGGTGATTGCGGCGGAAAACGCGGACCAGGTCTGCGGCAATTGCGCAGCTTCGACGGTCTGCACGGATGCCCTGGGCGCGGCGGGCGCGTGGCGGTGCTGGTTCACACGCGCGGATGGTCGGTGCGCGGGGAGGTGAAGGCGGTGTCGACGGGAGGAGGGCACGAAGGCCGCGGAGGAGGAGAGGCGGTCCGCGAGAAGGGCGGGCTTACTGTGGGTGGCGGAGGGCGAGCAGCGCGGTGCGATGGAGGCCGATAGGCCGCTGCGGAGCAGTAGAGAAGCCGCCATCGCCTACAGCGAGCTCGACTGCCGCTGCAAAGAAGCTATCGCTCACTGCAGATGATCGAGAACGGAGGCTCGAGGTATGGGACTGAAAGTCGAGATGTGCAACACAAGAGTGAGTGTGAAGGATTTGAATATGTGCTGATGTGATCTTCAGCAATGCGACATTCCCAAGGTGGAAGGTGAATGCACTGCGCGGAACTGCGGCTCCAGATTGCGCGGGAATCATAAGAATGATGAGGGCATCCAATGTGGCATACTCTGTGTGGCTTCACTGACGAGGCATGCACTCACAGGTTGATGTCCTCGTTAAAGGATGGTCAGCCCCCTTGTGAAAGTGTACACTAAGGCCTTTACGCGTAGCATAAGCTGCACTGAAATATTGCACCCCTCATGACCATTCATAAAGTTAAAGCGACGGGCAACTTTTGGCAGTGTTGGGTTCAGAAGTTTTTTTTTTGAACCAGGCTTGCCAGCGCGAAAGTGCTGGCTGGCGAAAACCAGGATTTCGTGCGGACACTTTCCATCCACAGTAACAGTTCGCCAGGGTTCTGGGTTTTGGGTGGCAAATGTGCACCGTCGCTTTAACATAACGCGTCTGAACAAATACGACAAATAAGTGGAACCATGGCCGCAAGCATGTGCGCGCACGGCTTCATATGGTGAACATCTGAGCGGGCCATGCCTTCTTGCCCCCATCAGCGCCCACCGCCACCACCTCCACTGAAATGTCAATGCTGCGGTGCTTGCTGGCGCGCACCACACTCACCCTCCCCCTCACCTCCACCGCCGGCCTACCCTCCGACCCCACCGCTCCTGTTCCCAGTGGTGGGGTTTCTCCGATCAGCACTGCAGCCGTGGACTGTGCTGCAGGTGCGAGAGCAATGGGTTCGCGGAAGGTGAGGAGGGTTTGGGCCCAGTGGGTGGGCGTGCAGAAGGGCGACGTGGAGAGCAGCACTGGCTTGGCGGAGCAGAATCGGGCGGAGAAGGCCGTGTCAAACCACAGCGCCAGCCCGTAGCACAGCGCGGGGGAGGCGGAGGCAGGGGATGCTGGAGTTGCAGCGGCAGGGCTGTCAGCGGGAGCTGGCCCGGCAGCAGAGGAGGTGGGGAGGGTTGGAGTGATGCAGAATTCAGAGGTGAAGTCGAGGTCCGGCACTGCCACGGTGCACAGGTCAAAGTGCTGCCACGGAAGGGCGGGAAGGACGGGGGAGGTAGATGGGGGGAAACGTAAGGGATGGGCGGAGAGGATGAGGTTCAGGGGAGAAGAGGCAGGGGGGACAGCAGAGGGAGGTGAAGGACGAGAGATACAAGGGGTGACCTGGGAGAGGAGGCACACGCATGGCGTGCATGAGGGCGCACCTTGATGGTGGCGGTGGACGTGACTATATCGCACGCCTTCACCTCCTGTACCAGCGGCGTGCGAGCCGCCTCGTCCTCTATCTCGCGCGCCACAGACGCCATGCTGAAGCCGTACACGTCCCTCCAAAACCCCACACTCGTTGCTCCCTCACCGAACCCCGCCACGTGCTGGTGGCGGGGAAGCGAAGCAGGCGGAATGATGGGATGGGAGAGGGGCAGCATGCGGAAGAGGAGACAAATGAACCGGAGGCAAGAAGCGAACAGTGCGAGCGGAATGCAGCCCTGATGGTTGCATGTGCAGGACATGCACCCATCTGAGCATGGAGGCATGAGGGCCAAGCTCAACCCATCTCTCTCACCATGGAGGCGGTGTCGGGCAGCAGGGCGCCGCCCGGTTTGAGCCAGGTGTCACGGGCGTGCAGCACAGAGGGCAGCATGGACTCGTACAGCAGCGCGTACCCCATCCACTCGCTCACTATCACGTCCACACTCCCCCGCTCCAACGCCACCTCCCCGCCGCCTCCCCCGCCTCCCGCCCCCTCGCCGCTAGCGCCCGCCTGCGCGGGTGCTTGAGTGGTCCCGGTGGGGGCGGGGGAGAGGTCCTCGATCTTGCTGCACACGAAGGACACCACGGGGCGTGGGGTGCGCTGAGGCGCGCTGGCAGAGGTGCTGCTGGGAGCAGGGGGGGCGGACTCGGCGCCCGCGAGATAGCCGTTGTCGCGCGCTATCTGGTGGCGGATAGAAGGGGTAGAGAGGAGAATGCGAGCGGTGAGGAGAAGTGACGATCGGCAAGAGATGTGAGGGAGTGAGAGAACCATGTGAATGGCATACAGGGAGATGCACGGCCATGTGCAGTAGACACATGCAGCATGCACCCCCTGTGCCTCCATCACCTCACTCGGCCTGCCTTGCCATCCTGTGAACCCACGCAGCCCCACCCCAAATGCTGCGCCGCCCACCTGCTGAGCCACGGTGAGAATCTCTCGACTGCCATCCACCGCCACCACCCTCGCTGCTCCTCCGCGCGCTGCAAACAGACTGTCCAGCACAGGAGGGATGAGGGGAATGGGCGGCAAGCCGGGAAGGGAGTGGAAGCTGAAGTGGCGCATGCAGGCATACCTTGTGAAGCAAGGAGGCAAGAGCACCCATACGTGGATGCGCGTGGATAGCACAGCTGGGGATCACATGGGCAGCCAGCCATCCCCACAGCTGAGGATCACATGGGCAGCCAGCCATCCCCACAGCTGAGGATCACATGGGCAGCCAGCCATCCCCACAGCTGAGGATCACATGGGCAGCCAGCCATCCCCACAGCTGAGGATCACATGGGCAGCCAGCCATCCCCACAGCTGAGGATCACATGGGCAGCCAGCCATCCCCACAGCTGAGGATCACATGGGCAGCCAGCCATCCCCACAGCTGAGGATCACATGGGCAGCCAGCCATCCCCACAGCTGAGGATCACATGGGCAGCCAGCCATCCCCACAGCTCCACACACCTCAGAATGCCCACCTGAGAATTCTCACCTGAAAATACCCACCTGAGAATTCTCACCTGAAAATACCCACCTGAGGATTCCCAACTGAGAATGCCCACCTGAGGATTCTCACTTGAAATACCCACCTGAGGATTCCCAACTGAGAATGCCCACCTGAGACTGCTCGCCTGAAAATGCTCACCTGAGAATGCCTGTGCCACAGCCCACATCCAGCACTGTTGCTCCCTCAATCAGGCTCGGGTTCTCCTCCAAAGCTGCCTGGTAGGCTGTGGTCCGAGCCTGCAAGGCAGGCATGGCAATGGGAAGCTCGGTAAGGATTTAGAGAGACGTTCGGATGTGAAGAGAGTGGGGCATGAAGGCATGCGGCCGCACAGAAGCACGCATGCATTTACTTGCCTTCGCACATCGCCTGCGCCCCCTCATCACTCTCACAGCGCCAACTAGCTATTCCATGTACCTCACTTCGTACCAGCCTGCCTCCTACCACAGAGCCGGTGTGCACAGGCAAGGGAGCGGGGCGGACCTTATCGGAGAGCATTTCGCGGTGGATGCCGAAGCCGGCGTAGGAGCTGAAGTAGTTGGCGTCGATCACGCGCACCTGCCTCTCCCGCACCGCCCCAAACGTCACCTGCCGCCGCTTCCTCGCCGCCTGCCCCTCCTCCCCATCCCCTTCCCCCTTCCCACCCGCACCAGCAACAGCAGGTGCTGCAGGTGAAGCCGCGGCGGCCTCCCCATCCATGGCGCCATCCACCGTCTCAGCAACGGCTGCCAGCTTCCTCTGGGCCTCATCGAGGGGCAGCAGGGCGTAGCTGGGGGAGGGCGAGGCGAGCGGCGTGGAGAAGGGCGTCCGAGGGACCACCGGGCTGCCCGTTCCCGAACCTCCTCCTTCCAATCCTAGCCCTGCCGTGCCTTCCCCTCCTGCCAAACCTGCCTTTGCAGCCACCACACCCACCGCTTTCTCAGCAGCAAGGGCGCCAGTGGAGGCTGGGCGGGGGGATACGGGAATGGGAGGTCGGCCCTGCTTGTGCTGCTGCTCGCCGTGCCTCACCTGCAGCAGCATGTCTTTCACCGACCCCTCGTGCATCCCACTGCCCACCCCCGACTCACCCACGCCTGCAGCAGCAGCGGCAGCAGCGGCGGCGGTGGCAAGGGAGGCGTAGCTGGGGCAGGGGGAGACCAGCGGCGTGGAGAAGGGCGTGCGCGGCGCTCCCATGCTCTGCGCCTGCCACGCTGCTGCAGCAGCCGACGGAGCAGCAGGCCCTGCACCCGCGCCTGCTGCAGCACCATCAGCGGTGGCAGCTTCAGCGGTGTTGCTGGCGCCTGAGGCTTGTGCTGCAGCAGAGGCAATGGCGGCAGCGGCAGTGGCGGTGGCAATGAGGGAGGCGGTACTGGGGGAGGGCGAGACCATGGGCGTGGAGAACGGCGTGCGTGGGGCGGCCGTGCCTGCACCACCGGCAGTGGCACTGAAAGGGCCTTCTGGAGCCCTTCCTGCTGACGTGGCAGCCAGCTGGTGTGCCAGCTGTGCGTTCTGTTGTCGCAGCAGCAGCACCTGATTGGCCAGCGTCACGTACTTCTCCAAAGAGGGCGCCACGTCCTCCCCGTCTGCACCCTCCCACCCCTCCACCTCCCCCCCTGCTCCTGCAACTTCTCCCACCTTCTCCTTGCCCTTGCCAACAGAAGAACCACCTGAAGTTCCACCTGAAGGTATACCTGAGCTGCCTACTCCCCCTCTCACCCCCCCTGTGCGGGCTGCCTGCACTCCCGCACCTCCGCTCCCACTGCTCTCCGCCCCTGCACCTTCCCCCTCCCCCTGCTCCCCCCCCGCACCCTCCCCCTGCGCCAGGGAGAGCAGCTCCTGGAACGCCAGAGAGCGCTCCTCCTCGCTCCCCACGCCGCCCCCCCTCTGCTGCTGCCGCCGCCGCCGCCGCCGCCCCTGCCGCCGCTGCAGTGAGTGGTAACCCGGTAACGTCCACCACAGCACTGGCCTCGCGCGCACCCCCTCCGCCAGCAGCATCAGCGCTGCCCCCCTTGGCGCCCCCCTCGCTGCTGCCCTCCTCGTCGTCATCATCCAAGCTGTACAGCACAGGGTCGCCTTCCAGGAAGCTTCTGAGGTATGCGTCGTCTCCCCAAGGGGCCGGGGCGGAGGGCTCGGGCGGGGTGGAGAGCGGGAGAGGAGGGAGGAGAAAGTGCTGCAAAGCTTCCATGTGTTGAATGAGGTCAGGTGGGGAGGGGAAGGACTGTAGGCAGTGGATGCAGCGATGGGCCGCCACCTGGGGGCGCGGGGGAGGGGTTGGGGGGAGAGGAAGGGCGCAGGAAGAGAGTCCACTTGTCGCTTCACACTCGCATTGAAAGGTGTTGTTGTGACGCTGGGGGAAACGAGTGACACGCGTGAGAGGATGATACCTGGGTCTCTACACTCGAAAAATGCTTGAAGGCTCAGCAACTCACGTGGGTACGGATGAAGTTGACAGCGCGGATGCACTGATACTCGTCCCACTTCTGCGCTGCTCGCAATTGCTTCAAGTCGAACCCGCCATGCTCCGCGCGGCAGTGCTGCAGCATGCCCGCCACGTTGGACAGCTGCACGGGATTGCAGTGCAGGCAGAGGGACCAACACGTCAACCACAACTTGAACGACTTCTCAACAAAGGTTGCTCACCACTAAATAATACTCTCAAATCCTTCAAATAATCAACGCCAGCGGCCCCTGAACCCCCCATATCCCCTTAACCCTCCACCTTCCTCTCCCCTGCTTCCACTGCTTTCCTCCCCGCCTTCCCCAACCCCGTTCGCTGCAGCGTCGTGGCGTGGCGCTGGTTAAGCATGTCAATGCGGTGTGGCCCGTCCGATTGCACTCGCCTGGCGGGGGCAGAAGAAGCAGAGCGCGGGGTCGTCCGCCTCCTCCTCGTCCTCCTGCCACTCCTCCCACTCCCCCACCTCCTCCGCCTCCTCCATCGCAATGTCTTCCGCGCTCAGCTCCATCCGCGCGAGCGGAAAACAGGAGAACAAGCGGAGATTTACACGAAGCGGAAAGTTTAAATGATGTGCCAACAAGCTCCCTTCTATAAAGTCCCTACACGGTAGAAATAAACTTTAAATAGAGACAGACGAGAATATTCAACCCAGCCTTGAAGCTCGCACCCCGCGATTTGGTGGTTCCTGGGAAGAATGATAGGCAAGGGTCAAACCAAGAATTGTGCTCGACAATCCCAAGGAAACCCATTTCGTGACTTCCTCGCTAGCGAAACCCAACGCGTTGGATTTTCACGTAGATGATTGCTTTAGGGAACCAACATTGTGCCAAGTCTGAAAACTTGTTAAAAAAACAACACAGCATTGTTAACTACTATTCCCCCTTGTACAACCTCCCTATATTTGGTTCCCTCGCACGTGTATAAGAACACCAATTTTTTCTTAATGGTACGTTTGCAATTTTTTGGCATGCAGGCTCTCTGCTGGTAATCCAGGTGGGTGGGCACATCAATGCAGTGAGAGCTGGTCCAGCATGGCTTGCATGAACTGCGGGTACACCCTGGACAGCGATGGCAGCACGTGTGACGGCGCTGACAGCAGGCTGCCCCACGGCCGCCCCTCCACCGCCTCCATCTCCCCTTGCCCCCTCCCTTCACCCGCCGCTCTGCCCTTCTCCGACAAACCCCCTGCCGCTGCTGCCACGGCCGCTGCGGTGGTTGCTGCTCCATAGATGCTTTCAAAGGCCGAAAGAGCTGCCACAGGCAAGAGAAATGAAGAGAATGGAAGCAAGCAAGTCAATGAATTTGGAGAAGGCAAGATGACAGCAGGGGCAATAGACATTCTTGAGGAGGGGTTGATGAGTAGAGTGGATGGACAGAGGGAGGGAGGGGTGGGGCCAGGGGCAGCTTTCTCACTCACCTTGACCGTCCGCCATGCCAGCAGCAGCACCATTTGACAGCTCCACGTCCCGACCCGCTGCATCTGGCGCAGGCCGGCTCTCCTCCCCATTCAGCACCGCATACTCCCTGCCACCGCTCACCACCACGATGGACCACTGCGCTGTCCCTTCCTTGCTGCTGCTGCTGCTGCTGCCGGCAGGTGCGGAGGAGGGTGGCAGGAAGGCGACAGTGGCGGCAGTGACATCAGCCATCTCCCACGCTGCGATGGGCACAGGGCTCTCCCCGCCCTCAAACACCAGCACTGCCCCCTTCACCGCCCCGCCTTCGCCTGCACTCCTCCTCGCCCACCCACTCCTCCCAACACTACCTTCCTTCGGTCCCACCTCCTCCCCGTGCTCCTCCTCCTCACCCTCCCCCCCTTCCTCGTCCTTCTCCACGCCACCGCCCTGCCCTGTGTCGCCGCCCCTCCCACCACCGCCACCAGCGGTGGGAGCAGCAACGATGACGGCGAAGAGCGGTGCAGAGGGGTGGGTGGCGAGGGAGAGCACACGGAGGTGGAGGCACCAGGCGAGGGAGAGAGAGAGCAGACTCCACACGGACAGAGCCGCGTAGGGGGCAGCGGTTGAGCCTGGCGGCGTAAAGTAGGTCCCCGAGGGGGCGAGGGCGCCGGAGACAGCAAGGAGGAAGGGGGAGTGGGGCAGGAAGGCGAGCGCGGTGACGGGCTGGTGCCACGGCAGGCCTGCCTGCAGGGGGCTGAGAGAGGGCGCGCAGTGCAGCACGGCCAGCAGCGCGTGGCGGTCGGGGTCCCACAGAGTGACGCGGTGCAGGGCGGCCACGGCCAGCAGGGAACCCTCCCAGGAGAAGCTCGCTGCAAGGAGGGGCTGCGAGGCGTAGCTGCCCACCCCACGGCAGCGCCAGCAGAAGGTCAGCGGTGCGATGCCCGCCTCCCGCTCCTCCATGCGCTCCCGCGCCGTCTTCGCTTGCCCTGACCCCTGCACGCCTCCTCTCCCTCGCCCCCCGCCCCCTTTCACTCCCCCACGCCCCTGCTTGGCACCCTTCCTCTCTCCCTCCTCCCCCCCTTCGTCCTCCCCCTCGCCCCACACGCGGGTCCAAGTGCGGAATTCACCGTCCGTGCCGCACGTGACCACCATGTCGCCGCCCGCCCGCACGTGCACGCCGGTCACCAGCCCCGCCGCCCCGTGCGGCGCATCCACCGCCGTCGTCAGCGCCGTCAGCCCCTCCTTGCCGCCCTTGCCTCCCTTGCCACTGCCCTGCCTCACGCCCTGAGTGCCGCCGAACGGTGCCGCCCAGAACTTGAGGGTGGACTGCTGGCCGGCCAGATCTTCCGGCTGGCGGATCTCAACAGTGACCAGCGTGTGGCCGTCAGGGGAGAAGCACACGTGGCTCACCCAGATTGGCGGGGGTTTCGGCCCCTGCTGCTGTGGCTGCGGCTGCTGAGCTTTGCCTTGCCCGCCCTGCAGCAGGCGCACGGCCTGGTCGCGCTGCTGCATCTCCTGCAGCTTCAAGGCGCGCTTGAAGCGGGCCTCAGCGGAGGAGACCACGTTGATGCGCATCAGCTGCACCGCCGCCACCACCTGCTGCCTCCCCACCTCGTACACCTGCACCAGCCCCAGTGGCCCCACCACCACCAGCCGCGCACTCCCGCCCCTCACACTCTGCACCACTGCTGACGGGGCACCGCCGCCCGTCACTGCCAGCTCAACCGCCAGCTGGCGCGCCACGTCAGCCGGGAGGCAGTTGGAGAGGGAGGAGGAGGTGGCAGAGGCGGAGGAGGGGAGGGGGCCGAGGGGGGATTTGAAGGGGTCGAGTGGGGGGAGGATGAAGTGGCGCGCGGGGAGGGGGCGTGTGGGGGGCGGGGGGGCGATGCCGCGGATGGAGGCGATGAGGGACGACTCGCTGAGGTCCACCACTCGCACGCTGTTGTCCGCACACTGCATCCCAAACCGCAACGCCTCCGGTGCTGCCAACGGTGCCACCAGCGACCGCGCTCCCCCTGCCCCCCCTGCTGCTGCTGCTGCACTGGGTGTGGAGGGGCTGGGGGGAGGCAGCGGGGGAAGCAGGGAGGGCGGGAGCACGAGGCGGAGCAGGGCGGCGGGCATGCGGGGGAGGAAGCGGCGCGCGCCGGACTGCAGCTGCCAGACGAGCGCCACGGCCTCGGCGCCTATGGACACCAGGTGCACCCCGTCAGGGGAGAAGGCGAGATCCGCCACGGCGGAGGCGTGCCAGTGCAGCGATGACACCGCCTCACAGTCCTCCTCCCCCTCCGCTCCCCTCCGCCCCTCTCCCTCCTCCTCGCCCTCCCCCTCCTCCCCTTCTCCTGCTCCTGCTGCTCCTCCCCCTCTCCCGGCGCCCCACCTGCCCCCGCCCCCTCCCTGCCCACCTCTCCCCCCTCCCCGACCTCTTCCCCCCCTCCACCCGCCCTCTCGCCCTGCGCGTCCGCCAGCTGGCGCGCCCCTGGCTTGGCCTTCCCCCCACGCCCAGCCGGAGCGGCGGCCGATGCCGTGCCACACCACCATGCGCCCCAACACGTCGCCCGCTGCCACCTGCACGCACGCGGGGCGGGAGAGAGACGGGGCACGTGGGAGGTGGCTGTGAGGGGCACGTGGGAAAGACGAGCGTGAGAGGAATGAAGGAACAGCAGCAGGGGCAGCAGGAGCATCATGAGGGGCAGCAGGAGCATCATGAGGGGCAGCAGGAGCATCATGAGGGGCAGCAGGAGCATCATGAGGGGCAGCAGGAGCATCATGAGGGGCAGCAGGAGCATCATGAGGGGCACGAGTGGCATGAGCAACAGCGGGGGCATGGGGGCATGGGGGCATGGGGGCATTGGGGGGAGAGCGCGCATGGGGGGAATGGGGCGGCGCACCTGCTGGTCATCGGGGTGGATGGCGACGCATGTGAGCGCGCGGCGGTGGTGCAGGTGCAGGCGCGCGTGGTGCGCGGGGCGCGTGCAGTGCGCCACGAACACCTTCCTCCCCGACGCCACCGCCAGCAGGCGCCCCGTCGCTGGGCTGATGGCCAGCGGGGAGGACACGAGCAGCTGCACGGAGGGGGAGAGGAAGGGGGAAGAGGTGGGGGGAAGGAAAAGGGAAGAGAGTGGGAGAGGAGCAGGGGCAGGCAGGGCGGGTTGAGTTGATGGGGAGAGGGGCGAAGTGGCGTGAGTGGGGCGCACGGCAGCATGGCATGCAAAGCGTGAAAGAGAAGGGCGGGCACAGGCGAGGAGCAGGTTGTGACCTGGTGGAGGAGCGACCTGGTGGAGGAGCGACCTGGTGGAGGAGCGACCTGGTGGAGGAGCGACCTGGTGGAGGAACGACCTGGTGGAGGAGCGACCTGGTGGAAGAGCGTTTTGAGGCAGCGGTCTTGGAAGACGTCGTAGTGCAGCAGGTCGCAGCCGCGCTGCTCGTTGCCCACCACCACCAACGCCACCGGCGCCACCGCCCTCTCCTCCTCGCGCCCGCCCGCCCCCTCCACCATCTCCGTGCTCGCATACGGATACATCACCTGCTCATGGCGTTGTGGTTAGTGGGGGGGAGGAGAGGGAGAGTGAAGGGGAAAGGAGACGAGTGCAGAGAGAGGGTACGCAGGGAAGCGAGGAGGGTAGTGGGGAGGAGGATTGGTGGCGGTGGCGCGGGGAAGGAGGTGCGAATCGGATCCCAGGCGTGGGTGTATGGTGCGATCCAGAGAGTGAAAGTCACTCACAAGGTCTCTGATTGGTCGGCCCAGGTGCAGCACTCTTAGCGAGGCCCCCGTTACAAAGTTCCACAGCCGCATCGTTCCGTCCAGCGACCCGCTCCACGCGTACACCATCGATGACGTGGCAGAGTCTGGAGCTGACACGTCAGCAGGGGGGTTGATCCCCATGTGGTCATCGTCGTCATCAGCGCCGCGAGCGGCAGCGGCGGATGCGGCGGGCGAGCGGGCGACGGCGGAGGTGGAGACGCACGTGACGAGCGCCGTGTGGCCCTGCAGCACCGCCACCTGCCGGGGGGGGTGGAGGAGGGGTTGGGGGGACGGGGGGTTGAGGGGTTGAGGCGAGGGGGTGCGGAACGAGCATGCGGCATCGGAACGGCTGTGAGGACTGCTTCGGACGCACGGGGGCGAGTCAACTGCGCGAGTTCGGGGTTTATTGCGCCGCATGCACGGGGCGCACCTCGAGCGCGGGGAGAGCACCTCGGAGCGGGATGCGCACCTGGGCGGCGGGATGCGCACCTGGGTGGCGGAGGCGAGCGCGAAGACGCGGACGACGGCCCCGCACGGGCAGAGCAGGCGCTGGCCGTCCGCGCTGAACGCCGCGCGCCCATCCACCAGACTGCCGCCGCCCCATGCCACCGGCGCGGCTGCCGCCAGGGTGGGCGGAAGCGCAGGCATAGCGGCCCGAGATAGACGCGGGGAGCGGCAAGGGGTGTAGACAAGGGAAATGAGGCGAGGTTCCGGGTTGGGACAAGGTTCCGGGTGTAGGGTTTAGGGAGACGCAAGGGGGGGGATGCAGAGGTAGGCGAGCGACGAAAGGAAGAAGGCGGGTCGCAAGGAATGACGGCGAATCGACGCAGGCGCGAGCAGGGAGGTGAGGTGTCCGTTTAGCGAGAGGAATGAGGGGATCAATTCTAGGCGTGACCGATCATGCCGCTGCTGGTAACAATGTTGGCGTACGGGCCGCCTCAAAGAAATCTTAAGCGCCTTGCGACGCGCTCTGCCACGCGCTTACGAGACACCCTTTGCTTGGCTTCTGAGTTTCAAATAGCTGTCTGTGTTGAAAGGCGAGGGCACCGCGACATAGTCGCCCTGTCATACCGCACAGCTCAAATGAACACAGCCTCGCGGTGTAGCCCGAGTTATTACATGCCATACTTCGCAACAGTTTAACTCAGAATAGTTAAAACAAGATTTCAAATTCCATTCCACTTTTCCATCTAATTGCACTCCTGAAAGGAGAAAATCAGAAACCCCTTGTGATGAGTAAGAAAACGCAGTGTAGATGCACACATAGCAGCAGGTGCTGAACAAAGCACTGTAAACTGTGCGAACCAATCTCGTGAGATTGTGCGTACCCACTTGCTAGCTGTAAGCCACATGTCTTGTACAGCTGATAGCATGGCAACTCGTGTGCATGTGTGTGTGAGTGTAGACAGAACCCAGAGTGCTCCAGGGAGCAGGCAGCAGGCGTCATCGAGTGCACATGCTACCCAAGCCATGCCACCTCTGCCAACCCCATGCCTCCTCCCATGCCTCTGCCCTGACGGCCCCCCTCTCTGGCATTCCCCCTCCCTCCCCCATACCCCCTCCCCATCCCCACACTCACCCCCACCGCCCCCACCACTCCCATCCCACTGGTCACCCCTCTCCCCACCCCTCCCCCCACCCCCGTCTCTGGTGCTCCCCCTCCTGCCCCCACCCCTGCTGCAGCCCCCCCTGCCCTGCCACCACCCCACCCGCCTCCCCCCTGCTGGCCTGCCACGGCAGCAGCAGCAGCGGCGGCAGCAGCGGCAGACCAGTGGCCCAGCTGCCCTGCCTGCACCGGAGATATGCCCATGGGCTCCGCACCGCTCTCCACCTCTCCATCTATTCCCGCCAATCCCTCTGCGCTGCTATCCCCCTCATCCTCCCCTCCTCGCCATCGCTCACTGTGTGTAGCGCCTGCACCGCCAGCAGCAGCAGCGGCAGCGGTGTGGTGTGGCAGGGCGAGCGGGGCGTGTGGGTGGTCAGTGACAGCGCGGTAGTGGTGTGGGGCGGACGAGCCACTGGCCGTGGCAGAGGGGCGAGACCTGCACGTGGGAGGGGTGGCACAGAGCAGGGAGAACATAGAGCATCGGAACACAAGGCATGGGGAACAGTGCCATGCTCATGCCATGGAGACAAGCACATGGGCATGGTGCAGAGGAAGTGGCATAACGTGGCGTTGGCACTCCCTGCCCCACTCACCACATGAAGGCGCCAGCAGCAGCAAGAGGCGAGCAGTCCATAGCTCCCAGCGACCCGCCACTGCCCCGCCCAGCTGCCGCCCCGCCATGCCCTCCAGGCGCAGCAGCAGCTGACAACACACCCGCTGCCGCAGCGGCAGGAACAGCAGCATCCGTGGTGGGTGCAGGTTGCATGTAGACAGCGTTGAGAGGGCTCCAGGCAGCAGGGGGGCCAATGGTGTGCCCCCCATGCCCGTGTGACCCCACATGCCCATGCGAGCCCACATACCCATGCGAGCCCACGTGAGTGTTTCCCTCCATAGAGCTGGGTCCACTGCCATGCCCACTGCCTCTCACCTGCCACGCAACCCCACCCACGCCTCCTGTCCCCTGCCCCTCATCCGTCCCCCCACCCTCCTGCTCCCCCCACCACCCCTTGCCACCTACTCCCCCACCCGCCATGACCCCACTCCCACTACCACCAGCAGCGGCAGTGGTGGCAGCAGTGGAGGGTGGCTGGTGGGGGTGGGAGTGGGGTTGGGGGGGGTGCAGCAGCAGATCATCACAGAAGTACGGGTCCCACTCCGCAGGCCCATCCCCCTCGCCTGCTGAACTGCTCTTTCCCCTCTCCCACCCCGCTCCTCCTCCCCCCCCTCCCTCCCCTTCGCCCCTTCTCCCCTCGTGTGCATCACTCGCCGCACCTGTTGCTGTGCGCCCGCTCTCCTGGCTCCTGTCATTGCTGCTGTAGTGCGAGCCCAGCCCCAGCTCCAGCCCCAGGCTCACACCAGCTATACCCTCGCCACCACCACCACCCTCACCACCACCAGCACCACCAGCAGCTGCCTCCCAAGATTCTGGCAGCTGTGCACCCCCCTGCATGCTCACACGGGCACGGCCCTCCCCCACAAGATCCCCCTGCCCTGCAAGCGCCTGCCTCCCTGCATGCACGCCATGCTGCCTGCTGCTACTCTCTGCACCGTGCCCACCCCCCTTGCCGCTCCTGCTGTCGCCAGCACCTTCACTCGCGGCCTCTCTTGCCCCGTGCTCCACCCTTGCCATCCCTCCCCGCTGCCCCTCACGCTGCTCCTGCTGCACCTGTCTCTGCTTCAACTCTTCCGCTTCTTGTTGTAGCTGCAGTTGCTGCTGCTGCAACAGATGCTGCTGCAGTTGTTGCTGCTGTTGCTGCTCCAATTGCTGTTGCTGTTGCTGCTGTTGTTGTTGTTGCTGCTGCTGCTGCTGCTGTTGCTGTTGCTGTTGCTGCTGCTGCTGCTGCTGCTGCTGCTGCTGCTGCTGCTGCTGCTGCTGCTGTTGCTGCTGCTGCTGCTGCTGCTGCTGCTGCTGCTGCTGCTGCTGCTGCTGCTGCTGCTGCTGCTGCTGCTGCTGCTGCTGCTGCTGCTGCTGCTGCTGCTGCTGCTGCTGCTGCTGCTGCTGCTGCTGCTGCTGCTGCTGCTGCTGCTGCTGCTGCTGCTGCTGCTGCTGCTGCTGCTGCTGCTGCTGCTGCTGCTGCTGCTGCTGCTGCAGCTGCAGGTGCTGTTGCAGTTGCAGTTGTTCCTGCTCCTGTTGCTGCTGCATGATGGCCATCAACCGCATCACCTCACTCTGCCGCCTCTGGAACTGTCCCATCACAGCCGCCTTCTCCAGTGCAATCCCCCCTTCCGCTCCGCCCCTGCCAACACTCAACCCCATCCCCCCTGCCCCTGCACCCGCCAGCCCTCTAGCAGCGGGGGAGGGCAGCCCTGCGCCCGGATTGTGGCTGGTAGGGTGGGTGCTGCCGCTGGGGCCCAGAGAGGACGCCTGCCCCACTGACCCTCGGGCCAGCGGGGAGGAGAAGTCAGGGTGGAGCGAGGACGGGGAGAAGTGAGGCGAGGAGGTGGTGGGGGAGGAGGGCGTTGTGGGCTCACTCACACGCACTTGCAGGTGTCCCTGCCGCCCACCCTGCTGCTGTTGGAGTTGGTGCTGGTGCGAGTGGGAGGATGGGAAGTGGCGCGAGTGGGAGGGAGGGGTGAACTGCAACGGACTGGCTCCCAGCAGCGAGTTGCTGCTCACTGCCACTTCGCCGTCCCTCCCCCCCCAGTACCCCCCTCCCCCTCGCCCTGCCCCGTCCAGGAAAGGCTCGCCAGGGCTTTGCCCCAAGGGCACATACGCACCCTCATTCCCCATGCCCTGCCACACCCCCCCACCACTGCCCCGCCTCTCCTGCTGCCTGCCGCCAGCAGATACGGCGCCGGGGGCTGCAAGGGTGGCAGCTGCGGGGATGCTCATGCTCATGCCCATTCCCACTCCCGTGCCAATGCCCATGCCTGTGCTGCCGTCTGCCACCTGTTGTGAACGAAACTGGGCGGAGAGCAGGGATGCAGACGAGGGCTGCAGGGAGTGAGAACTCTGCAGCTGCTCATGCAGGGACGACCGCTTTTGCTGCGATGACTGCTGCTGCTGCTGCTGCTGCTGGTGCTGCATCTGCTGCATCTGCTGCTGTTGATGCAGCCTCTGCAGCTGTTGATACTGCTGCTGCTGCTGCTGCTGCTGCTGCTGCAATTGCAGTTGAAACTGCTGCTGAAACTGCTGCTGCAGGTGCTGCTGCTGGTACTGCTGCAACGAGCCCCTCCCGGGACCCAGAGGGCTGGACGGCATCTGACTCATGAGACTCGATTGACTTGCTTGACTCAGCTGATTCACCTGACCTGCCTGATTCGCCAGCCCGGCCTGCCCCAGCTGGCCCATCTGCCACTGCTGCGCCGCTTGATTCATGCTGGCCAGCGCAGGCAGCAGCTGCCGTGTGTCTGGGCTCTGCCCAAACCCTAACCCTAATCCTAACCCCAGCCCTCCACCACCTCCCGCAGCTGCTGCTCCTGCCGCTGCTCCAAACGACCCTGACCCCAAGTCCGCCCCCTGCCCTGCCGCAGCAAGGTGCGCAGCATACGCCATGTAGGAGCCTGTGGGGTCTGTCAGACTGCCCACCCCTCCCAGACTCCCCACGCCCCCCATCCCTCCCATCCCTCCCATGCCCGCCACGCCCCCCATGCCCCCCACACTCCCCATGCCTCCCAAACCCCCCATGGCGCCAAAGCTGTTGCCAAGGCTGCCAAGGCTGCCGTAGGAGCCCACACTGGCGCCCAGAGGGCCGTAGTTGTGGGGCAGCCCGAGGGGCACGCCATACCCCCCCATGCTCCCATATCCGCCTTCGCCCATGCCTGCTGCTCCCATGCCTGGCCCCATGCCTGCACCCATGGCCAGAGCAGCAGGAGCAAGGGCGGCGGGCATGGCAGCAGGAGCAGGTCCAGACAGAGCCATGGCGGGCGGCAGTGCTGCTCCCACGCCCGCTGCCCCGCCCAGGCTGCCTGCCATTATGCCCCCCTCCAACGCCCCTCCCCGCCCTGCTTCCTGAGCTCCTAGCGACTGCCTGTGCTGCAGCACACGCGCATGCTGCTGCTGCTGCTGCGCGAGGCGCGAGGCACCCTCCCTGTGCAGCGGCTGCAGCTGAGCGGCCTCGGTGGCGTCCACCTGCTGCTGCTGCGGGGCGGGTTGAAGCGGGGATGAGACGCATGGGGGGATGCACGTGTTGACCACGGGAGTGAGTTGCATGACGCAGTCAAGCAGAGCGATTGCAGAGCAGCGGGAGGAGTGAGGTGCGGAAGGCAGAGGTGAGCTCACCTGGCGCTGTGGCTGGAAGGGCCCCATCCATGGCTCGTCCGTGATAAATGGGTGCTGTGCCGCCTGCCAGTCGCAACGGGCCACGGAGGGATCGATGTGGGGTAGAGAGGAGGTGATACTTTGAGAAAGAGGGAGAGAGGAGGAAACGGGAGCAGAAGAGAGAGAGCAGGGAGGCGAGGCAAGCAAAGAGGCCAGCAAAGCGCATGGAGGCGGGGTTGCGGGGGTCGGAGACCTGGCGGGCGGTCCAGCGCTGGGCGGGGTCCATGTGGAGCAGGCCCGAGAGAAAGTCCACAAACGCCACTCGGCTTGCCCGCTCCTGCCGCGCCTCCTCCGCCCCTTCCCCGCGCCGCAGCGCATAGCCCAGCACGAGGTCGCTGAGTGCCGTCTGCCGAAAGTACCTCTTCCCCAGCGCCGGGCGCGCCTCCCCCCCCGCCACCACCTCCTCCACCGTCTTCAGGCGGTACGCTGAACCGCGCCCATCCTCCCCCCCACCCCCCGCGTCTGCTGTGCGCACAAAGTACTTGGCCGTGTGCTTGGCATGCCTCAACATGGCATCGGGCGGCTGGCAGCTGCATGGCACAGCGAGGGAGCAGGAAAGGTGAAGAAACGCGGGAGGGGAAGAAATGAGAGCGTGGAATACTCCTATCGGGAAAAGAAAGTAGGGATCAATAAATATAGAGGACGTTTCATGCAGAGGAGCATGGTTGAAGGCAGCAGGGACAGCAGAAGGAGTGAGTGTGTGCAGAGTGGTGACGGACCCCATGGTTTCGACCATGCGGTGCAGCATGTCAAACTCGGAGGCGCCAGGGAAGAGCGGCAGGCCGAGGAAGAGCTCCGCCGCCACACAGCCCAGCGACCACAGATCAATGGCCGTGCCGTACGCGTGCCCCAACACCACCTCCGGCGACCGGTAGAACCGACTCTGGTGGGGGAGAGGAGAAGGTGGGGAGGGGGGGACACATGGGGTCGCAGAGGCCGGGGAGAGGTGAGGGGGCATGGGAGGGGCCTGCGGCGAGTGCAGACACGCGGCCTGAAACAGACAGAGCAGGAGGGCAGAAATCAGTGGTTGTTCGTACATGCAGCATAGCTTATGGTGGTGGGGTGCATGCATGTGGGAGTGGGCCCGGGTTGCACCTGGATGTAAGAGTACACAGTTCGATTCTCAGTGCAGGCAGAGCCAAAGTCGATGAGCTTGATCTCGCCGCCCAAGCTGGGGTGAGCATGGGGCAGGTGAGCAGGAGATGCGGAGCAGGGGGGGGGAGAGGGCATAAGCGACGGTGAGGGGGGCGGGCGTCGATGACAGTGAATGATGAGCCAAAAGAGCAAAGCTTGGGGTGCGGGGCGTACCTTTTGAGGAGGATGTTTTCGGGCTTGAGGTCGCAGTGTATGACGCGCGCATCCTCCAACACCGTCAGCGCCACCAGCAGCTGCACCCCCGTGGGGGATGGCGTGGCAGGAGGCAGGGGCAGGGCGGGGGAGAAAAGGGTGGCAGCACAGAGGATGAGAAGGGAAGACGCGGAGAGGAAGGCGGGAGGAAGAGGCAACATGGAGGAGGTACTCAGAAGCAGGAGGCGTGTTGACAACGAAGGTGTGAGTAATGTGTAGTCAATCACGAAGGGCGGTGTGATGTGCAGGGAGGGTGGCAGCACACCTGCTTGGTGAAGAGGCGCACCTGCTTGGTGAAGAGGCGCACCTGTTTGGTGAAGAGGCGCACCTGTTTGGTGAAGAGGCGCACCTGCTTGGTGAAGAGGCGCACCTGTTTGGTGAAGAGGCGCACCTGCTTGGTGAAGAGGCGCACCTGTTTGGTGAAGAGGCGCACCTGTTTGGTGAAGAGGCGCACCTGTTTGGTGAAGAGGCGCACGAGCTTGAGAGAGAGGCCGCGGAACTGGTTCTGGCGGATGAGCTCGAAGCTGCACACAGCATGGAACACGCAAAGGTGAGCGAGGGAGAGCTACGCAATGCAATGCTACAACGCATACTGCTATGGGACGAAGAGCCAGCGCGCGTGGCAGGGGTGTGGTGGGCGTGTGCACGAGGGTGGGGGCGAGGGAGAGGGAAAGGGGTCGGGCAGGTGACTGACAGGTTGTAGGTGAGGAGTTCGAAGACGATGCAGAGGTGGCTGTGGCACACGAAGTGGTCCACCAGTCGCACTATGTGGTGCTCGTCCTGCGGGTCAAACGACCCGTTCAACTGCTCCCAGCACAGAGGAAGGGGAGAAAGGAGGGGGAAGGGGAGGGCAGCAGAATGAGGAACAGGGATGGGGTGTGTGAAGCAGAAGTTGCAATGCAATAGCGTGTCACCCGCCAGTGAGCGCAATGCACGGTGGCACAGCTAGCAGAGCAGTCCCACATGCCCAGCAATGACAGTCTCAACAGTGTGCGGTGTGGCAGAGCAAAGGGGCCTCACGAGGCGGAGGATGCTGATCTCGACGAGCGCCTGGTGGTAGTAGGCGGGCTGATTCTTGATGACCTTCACCGCCACCACCTCGCCCGTCTCCCCGCACTCGCACTTCACCACCTGCCCGAACGTGCCCTGCCCCAACACGTCCCGCACCACGTAGCTGCGCGGAACCCGCGAGACGGGGGAGGGAAGGGGGGGATGAGCAAGCGATGAGGACGAGCGTGTCCTGGAGCGCACCTCGCTGCCGTCAAGATCGTGCGTGGCCCCTCCAAGTGACTAAACCGAATGAGAATGAGTTTGAGATTGGGACCAATGCCTGGGTGAAGGTTGCGGGAGGCGCGTGAAGGGCGCATGGGGGTCGCGGAGCAGCCTGCAGCGCACATGTGCGTGCGGGTAACGCGGTGGGCAGCGCCGTGTAGCCAAGTGCGGGGGTCACCTGGGGGTGCCGGGGTCGCCGTGCAGCACGAGGCGTCACCTGGGGGTGCCGGGATCGCCGTGCAGCACGAGGCCCGTGGAGAGGATGAGGTCGGAGTTGGCGTTGTCCCACCCCTCGTTCCCCGCCGCCTCCGACGGCTTCGTCAGCACCACGCGCGCCGCCCGCTCGCCGTCACCTGCTCCGCCCTCCGGCGAGCCATACTCGCGAGCCGCGGGTTGGTCAGGAACGGCGGGCGCGGGGTTTGAGGAGGGATGGTGGGCGGCGATGTGTGCGCGCGAGGCGTCGTTGCAGGCGGAGTAGGTGTGCTTGAGCCCCGCCGTCATCCGCACCACCAGCTGGCACGGGGGGGCACAGCGTGGGGGGGGGGGTGGGAGAATGAGAGGCGGAATGCACAGGATGGAAGGAGAGAAGAAAACACAGGGGAGCATTGTCAAGAAAACGGAAAGCGTCAGAGAAGTAACAAGCAGATTGGCGCGGGAATCACGAACGTGAGGAGAGGCAAGCACGACGAGGGGGAAAGGAATGTCCAGGCGTGCAGTGAGAAGAACAAACGGTTCATATTGCCACTAATGGCTAAAACGGTGGACTAGAGCAGTGACGATGCGACCAGTGCTGGTGTAAGAGCTGGAGGCGACATTGAGGTAAGTGAGCGGAAGGATGTCTAGGGCTGGATGCGATGGTCATGACGCGCCCTCGGCCGAGAGGATTGCCAGAGTCACGACACGCCCTAGACGTGGCAGTCTACAGAAATTGAGACTGAAATTTCTCAGCCGCCCTGACACCGCAAGTCCCAGCCGTTTGAGCATCACGCATCGAACGGTCGCGACGGCAGTTTGCATCCGTTACAAAAAAATCCACAAATTGCTCATAAAACGGGCTCATGGCACGTGTGGACCATGCTTCTCGTTCCAACGGTCCCGGAAACTCCACTGGTCCACCATCCTCCATGGTTACTCGGCTGGCGATTGACAGCTGACGTGGTCAATCTGGAGGACTTGGGTCATTGAGACCTACTTGCCAAGCAGGCACTAAAGAAGCAAGTTCTGCAAGCAGCAACGGGTGACGGCGAGGCTCCTCGGACTTACTGGCGTCCGCTGGTTCGATTCCTGCCGCTGCTCGCCGTTCTGCTCCGCATGCGCGTTTGACACGCGCGCCACCACGGAGAACGCTCCTTGCCGAGGCATCCAAGCGGCCGTCACTGGCGCCGATCGGGATTCCGACTCCTGCCTCGCACCAAATAGGTCAGTCGCTCCGTCTAATCCGAAGCTGGCCTTTGAGCTGTCCGTTTGTTCCTGACTAAGATCTAAATTCCAAAGGCCGGAACCAAGGCCGTCGACGTCATGATCCTTAATCGCAGGGGATTGCGAAGATCCGAGATTGAGGCTTCCCATTTCCTGCACCCAGACTACTGCATAGCCTCGCTACGGAATCCTCAACCGTCGAATTCCCTCGTGCACCGGAGCAATAGGACGAGCCCATAGGCTTCAGAGAACAACCTCTAAGGCCGACTAACCGTCAGGCTGAAGCATATTATCGCCTCACAAATGGCAGCATGTGGTGAAAACGGCGAGGTATATTCGATCACAAGGAGCTATGGCTGGAAGCACTGCAGGGGGACCCAACGGACTGCGGAACACAAGGCTGCAAAAGGTCGCTCGCTACAGGCGGAAGCACACGGCGGAAGGTCCACAATGTGAACAGTTCCCGCCGACCACCTCCGCTCCGCCATGATGAACTGGGTGCTCGCATCAGTGACGTGTCGGCCGGGCTGCCAAAACCGCACTCGCGAGGAGGCCATGTCGATGCTGCGAAGGTTTCGCGTGTGAAACATGCTGGAAGCTGCGATGGCTCTGCAGTAGCATGCGACGCTCCTTTGGGGTTTCCATGCGACAACTGCTGCCCACGTGCGTTCGCGACGTTCTCGAGGTTTTACGGTGTGAGTTGAAGGTGACTGAAACGGGCTTCTGGATGTGGGCCTTATTGAGATTTGTTCACTAAAGAGCCTAAAATCCCATACAATGAAACTAGTACCATATAAAGAAAACAATGCACATAAAACAAACCGACAAGAAGCATTACAAAGTTAGTATGAGATTTCAAGTGGACCCACTAGTAGGGGGGGGGGTCACTATTTTAGCTGCTGGCTATAAAGAAAACAATGCACATAAAGGTGTGCTGGATATGATTTTTCTTATCTAAGACACGATTAGTACTTCTAAACCAATATTTTTCTAATAAAAATGAAGGACTGGATATGCGGGGCATGCTTAATCTATTACAAGTTCTTGGCAAGAAACTGATCGAGACCATCATGTTCTTTCTGTAATAAGTACGTATGGGAAGAAAAGTGTGGTCTTACATTTTATTGCATGTAACTGACTCAAACATTTCTTGTAGTGAGCGACTACGTTGGAGCTTGTGATAGCTATTAGCGAGCAGCATTTAGATCTTCTCGAAAGGGCGGAAAGGCGGCGATTTACGGAGGGTTGATGGCAACGTGGACACCACGCTGGCAAGATTTGACCTAAACCTTGCCGCGTGGAAAGGTTCAACAGAACCTTCTGAGAGTGGCCTTCTGGAATATCACCGACTCTTCTTCCACGTGGCGTCCCTCGTGGCCGAATGCTGCTAGGTTGAAACTCGAGGTTCTTCCTTTCCCTACGCCTCCCCATCCCACCATTGCTCCTAGTCACATCAACCTCAGCTTCACTCACCACGTCTCATTTTTCCTCAACATCGCCACTGCTCTCCTCGCCAGACGCTCATACTTGTCTCTTCGCGCTTCCGTGAGCGACTGTTCCTGCTATCGTGCTTGTCGAAGAAGACCTCGGTCATGGCGTCCAGCTTGGCCCATAGCATGGCAGCAGCCCAAACTGCAGTGCCCGCGAAGGTAGCCGACCGTGCAAGGATGCAATTACAGCAAACGGCATTTGCAGATTGACGTCGTAGTTTGTTGCAATTACAGCAACCTCTCATCAACCATGCACTTGGGCGTATATGTATTGTGGTGTTCCCACGCAGCGGCACTTATTAATTGCCGTTGACGGCGATTCCTCCCCATCCCTCCCCTCTTCCCTTGCTCCCCCCCTCCCCCTCCTCTTCCCCCCCCCCCCCCCGCCTCCCCTCCCCCCCGTTTCCCTCCACGTGCAGATAAGCAAAGCGGCGTCTCTAGCGCCAGGCAGTCGCCAACTGGCTGCGTCTATCGCCCGTTCGCCCGTCACGGCGCGCACTCGGCGGTCGCTGCGGGTGCGCGCGGAGGCGAAGGACATTCTGTTCGACCAGGCGGCGCGGTCCGCCATGCAGTCCGGCATTGACAAGCTCGCGGACGCCGTGGGAGTCACGCTCGGCCCGCGAGGTACGCTGATAAGCTCGCTCCTCGGCTCGCGAAGCACAACTTGCCTGTGTCACGGCCGCCATGCTCGCCAGCACTAGGAGCTCACCAGTTGTGTCGGGTCACGAACTGAGCACGGCGAGTCGTCGGTCGTGTTGTCGGCCGACGTTCCCATCAGCCGCTCCGTTGTACAATCAGCCTACATATCGTACGATCAGCGAATCTACCGTACGATCAGCCAATCTCCCTTATTATAAGCCAATCCATCGTACGATGAGCCATTACACTGTACGATCAGTTGATCTGCTGTACGATCTGTCAACATATCGTACGATAGCTTGTACGACCAGGATTTCTCGTACAATCAGGAATTTCTCGTACGATCAGAAATCTCTCGATCGACCAAGAATCTCTCGTATGACCAGGGATCTCTCGCACGACCAGGATTGTGTCATGTGATCAGCAATCGTCGTCCGATCAGCAATCGTTTCACACGAAACAGTTGGTGGCATCATCGCCCAAGTGTCACACCATCCATTCTGTCAGCCGCCAGTATTGGCAGCGCGTGAGTTGAGGCAATGAGAGTGTTCTCCTGGTGCGGGGCGCAGGTCGCAATGTGGTGCTGGACGAGTTCGGCGCGCCCAAAGTGATCAACGACGGCGTCACCATCGCCAGGGCCATCGAGCTGCCCGACCCCATGGAGAACGCCGGCGCCGCCCTCATCCGCGAGGTGAGAGATGCCTGGAGATAGCAGGTTTAGGGTAAAGGATAAAGCAACCAGGGTTCTGGGGATTGTATTTCAGCATTCTTCCCCTAGCCAGCCGTGCAGCCTTGCAGCATATTGCCGCTCGAATTGCACGCCCATCACACACCCCGCTAAAACATCCCCCGTCACTATCACATCCGCCCGCCAGGTGGCGTCGCGCACGAACGACTCGGCGGGCGACGGCACGACGACGGCGAGCGTGTTGGCGCGCGCGCTGATCAACCTGGGGCTGCTCAACGTTACGGCGGGCGCCAACCCCGTGGCGCTCAAGAAGGGCATTGACAAGACCGTTGCGCACCTCGTCGAGTCGCTCAAGGATCGCGCGCGCCCCGTCAAGGGCCGCGACGATATTAAGGGTGCGTGCGGCGGGCGCGGTTGCAGGAAAACCCTAGACTTGGGGCTCTGGCGATGCCTTTCTGAAAGCACGAGTCTCGAATCTGGCTGATCAGCTCTCACGCGCCGTGCGTGTGGCAGTCTGCGAGACTCGCCGCTCTCGAAGCATCCCAATCTCACTTCATCTCTCGCACCCTCTCCCTCCCCGTTCCCCACCTTCACCCATCTGTCACCGTGCGCGTGCCGTACCCTCCCCCTTGGGCGAGCAGCGGTGGCGACGATCAGCGCGGGCAACGACGACGAGATCGGCGAGATGATCGCAGACGCGGTGGACAAGGTGGGCGCGGACGGCGTGCTCTCCATCGAAAGCTCCTCGTCCTTCGAAACCACCGTCGACGTCGAGGAAGGCATGGCGGTGAGTTGCGCTTCTTCCCCGTCCGCTTGCTTCTTGCCCGTGTGCCCGCTCCGCGGTTCCTACTTAGCACATTCGCTCCCCACGGGTCCCACCTTCCGCCCGCTTCACATGCCGTCCTACCTACTCATCCCCACTCGCCCGGTTTGCTCCCCAACCCCTCCGCGCCCTTCCCTCTCTCCGGGTGCGCAGATCGACCGCGGTTACATTTCGCCACAGTTCGCGACGAACACGGAGAAGATGCTCGTCGAGTTCGACAACGCGCGCGTGCTCGTGACGGACCAGAAGGTCAGTACGCCTGCTGTTGGATTGGTTCGTATTGCCGGTTTAAGCAGAATGTTGGAATCGTGAGACTGAAAGAACACAATAAGCACTAGCCGGAGTCTACTGGTGACTAAGAATCTCCCTCCCACACCATGTAGCCCGCCTTCCCCGTCGCGCTTGTGCTCCGCAGTCCCCATGACTTTAACGCGCTCTTCGCCACTCACACGCTCAGCGCCCAGTTGCACTATCGACTGTTCGCTGACGCACTCACTCCCCGCTCCCCACCTCCCTCCCCCCCCTCCCTCTCCCCCTCGGGCGCACGCGCGGCGCAGATCACGGCGATCAAGGACATCATCCCCGTGCTGGAGCGCACGTCGCAGCTGTCGGCGCCGCTGCTGATCATCGCGGAGGACGTGTCGGGCGAGGCGCTGGCGACGCTGGTGGTGAACAAGCTGCGCGGCGTGCTGCAGGTCGCCGCCATCAAGGCGCCCGGCTTCGGTGAACGCCGCAAGGCGCTGCTGCAGGACATCGCCATCGTCACAGGTGGGGGGTGGGGGAGGGCAGGGCATGGGCTGGTTGAAGAAGGAAAATAAGAGATGAACCAAATGTGTGTATGCATATGCAAGAGCGTGTTCGCATGTGTGTGTGTGTGTGTGTGTGTGTGTGTGTGTGTGTGTGTGTGTGTTCGTATGTGTGTGTGTGAGTGAGTGTGTGGGTGATTGCGTGGGTGTGCTTGTGTGTGTGCGCGCGTGCTCGCCCATGTGTGTGTGTGTGTGTGTGTGTGTGTGTGTGTGTGTCTGCACGGGTGTGTGCGTGTGCTCACCTGGCGCCCCATCCCTCCGCTCCCTCATCCACTCTTCCCCTCCCTTCAGGGGCGGAGTTCATGGCGTCTGATCTGGGGCTCAAGGTGGAGGGGGCGACGGCGGACCAGCTGGGAGTGGCGAGGAAAGTGACCATCAGCAGCAGCAGCACAACGCTCATTGCTGACAGCGCCACCAAGGACGAGATCGCGGCCCGCGTGGCGCAGATCAAGCGCGAGCTGCAGGAGACGGACAGCGTCTACGACACGGAGAAGCTCTCGGAGCGCATTGCCAAGCTCGCTGGGGGCGTGGCTGTCATCAAGGTCCGAGCCATGCCTGCTGCCTGCTGCTTGCTGGGTGCTGGGTGCTGTGGCGGGGTTGGGGATATATAGCTCGTGAGAACTGCAGGAACACGCGCTCCACTTCTGGGCACACCAGTTGCCACTCACACGGCATGCCATGCGCTCACCCCCCTTGTGTGGCATGGCAGGTGGGGGCGGCAACGGAGACGGAGTTGGAGGACCGCAAGCTGCGCATTGAGGACGCCAAGAACGCCACCTTCGCCGCCATCGAGGAGGGCATCGTGCCGGGCGGTGGCGCCACCATGGTGCACCTGGCAGCGCTGGTGCCGGCCTTCAAGGCGCAGCTCACGGACGCGGAGGAGCGCATCGGAGCCGACATCGTGGAGCGCGCCCTGCTGGCACCGTGCTCACTGATTGCCCACAACGCGGGTGTGGAGGGCGCGGTGGTGGTGGAGCGCGTGAGGGAGAGCGAGTGGGAGATGGGGTACAACGCCATGGCCGACCAGTATGAAGACCTCCTCGCCTCCGGTCCGTGCTCCTCTCCCTGCTCACCCCTTACCCCGCGCCACTCCCTGCTCGTGCTGTGCCACTAGGAGCTTGCCCCATGCCGCTCCGTGCTTGTTAGCTCTGTTGTGTTGTGTTGTGTTGTGTTGTGTTGTCTGCACTTCCATGAGCACCTGCGCTGCTCGTCACTCATCTGCCCTCCACACTCCCTCCCCTCCCATGCGTGCAGGAGTGATCGACCCCGCCAAGGTGACGCGGTGTGCGCTGCAGAACGCGGCATCGGTGGCGGGCATGGTGCTGACGACACAGGCCATCGTGGTGGAGAAGCCCAAGAACAGCAGCGGCGCCGCCAACACCCCCTACTCGCCACAAGTGCCCCTCACGCTCTAGGCCATTCAACCAGCAGAGAACACAGCTTGAGGGGTTTAGAACCGGGAACAGTGTCCATGTAATGTAGCAGGTTGACATTCTGATGTTGCCCTTCATCAGTATTAAAACACAAGTGGATGAACCACACAACCTGACTACAATGTGTGCAGCTGGGTAGACCTCAACTGCCAAAGCTGGAAGAGAACTGCATGGCAATGTACAATGCAGCAGAGTGTGCCTGTGGTGGGTGGGCCACTTCAGGGCATTCTGGAACGTCCACTGAACACGACCGGAGTGAAATCTTGGAAGGCGTTGCTTTCAAAATGGCAGAGCAGAGGTTAGGAGACACAGCCTCGAGTGAAATCTTGGGAAAAAAGGTCAGTGGTGAAGCGCTGCCTAATCTGGTGAAGCGCCTCAGCATCTGGTAAATGGCGTCGCGTCAATCATAATCAGATTAGAGGTCAAGATTGGCACGGCAATACAACAAAAATCTCGCGCCAGCAAGGGGTCGAACCTTGGACCTCTCGCTTAGGAAGCGAACACTCTATCCACTGAGTTACAGGCGCTGCTGCCTTCACGACCCGTATTTTATAAATATGCATAACTGAATCCTGACAAGCATTCTTTCGCCTTGTTTCATCGTATGGCGGATCAGACGCGTAGCAGCGATGCTTCTGTGGCGGCAGGCGAGCGGATGCTGAAGCGCTGCCTGCGATGGAGTTGAGTGTCGCCGCTCAGCCGCCCCTGCGCCTTGACCCTTGCCACCTTGTGGCGCTCTTGCCCTCGCCCTGTCACCCTTTGCACTGCCGCCTTCTGTCCCATCGCCCGCCCTTCCTCCGACCTCCCGTTCGTCCCGCTCCCTGCAGCCTCTCACCCCATCTCCACATGCACATGCCCTCGCGCACGCGCCACTCGCTTTCCTCTCAACAAACGCACTTCGAGTCCCTCTCATCCCGACCGCGCCCACTGTCGTTTCCCCGCGCCCCATCGTCCAGATCCGACGGTCCGATTCCTCCGCGAGTCGCTGGAGCGCGCCGGGTGCGCCGTGAGCGATGAGTTCTTTTCCGCGCGCCGATGCGACGAGCAGGCGGGCGGAGGCTTCATGCCCGGCGAGGGGGTGAGCGCTGGGAGGGAGTGGGGAGGGGGAAGAGGGAAGAGGGGAAATGGGATGAAGGGGGAGAGCAAGGATCGAAGGTCTGGGGGGATGGGTAAAGGCGAGAATGATGACTTGTGTCAGCATAGGGGCAAGGTTGACGTTAGATGAGCCACCGTGCCGCTTGTTGCCATGCTGTGTCACTATGCCAGCCCATGCCATGCCTGCTCATGTGTTCCTGTGTGACGACCAATGCCACACCTGCGTGTGCGCGGCGTGGGTGCATGGGTGCATGCGGGTGCGGGGAACGGCAGGTGGTGGTGTGTGCGAACCACGTGGGGGGGCAGGACGAGGTGGACGTGGTGGTGGCGCACGAGCTCGTGCACGCCCTCGACCACTGCCGCGCTGCCAACCTGCACTGGCCTGATCTCCAACACCACGCCTGCAGCGAGGTGCTCCCCTGCTCGCTGCCTCGTTACTTGCCTGCCATGCACATGTTTGTGCCGTGCTGTCATCCTGCCATGCATGCCCACCCATATCGTCCTACCCTGCATGCCCATATCGTCCTGCCATGCATGCCTGCCCCGGTGCTGCCGTGCATGCCCATATGGAGCATCAGATCCGAGCGGCCAACCTGAGTGGGGCGTGCCACATGCACCGCGAGTTCAACACGAGGGGGTCTGACTTTGTCTTCCGCAACGGCCACCCGGTGAGCCACACCTGCCACCCGGTGAGCCACACCTGCCACCCGGTGAGCCACACCTGCCACCCGGTGAGCCACACCTGCCACCCGGTGAGCCACACCTGCCACGCGCGGGTGCTTCTGGTCGAAAGGCCAGGGTGGTGGGCGGCAGTGAGGCAAGGGGCGGTGAGGCGAGGGAGGGTTGCAGCCACCTGATTGCTCTCTCGCACCTCATGCCTGCTCCCTCAATCTCCCATGTGGGCCGTCAAGCGTTAACTGTCTCGTCTTTTCTCTCTCTCTGTTGGCTCTCCCCCTCTCTTGCTGCTGCAAGCAGCAGTGTGTGCGGCGCAAGGCGCAGCTGTCCGTCGCCATGAACCCCTTCTGCTCCGATGCTGGGCCCCCCTCTGCCGCTACCACTGCCGCCACCATTGCCAACGGCAGCAGCGCCAATGGAAGCGGCAGTGGCAGCGAGGCGTCTAGCAGCAGCAGTGCGGCGTGCATGGCTCGGGCGCGGGCGGCAGTGGATGCGGTGTGGGACGTGTGCTACCAGGACACCACTCCCTTCGACCGCATCCCATGATGCTCTCCTCATAGGCTTCACTTATTGACAAGTGTTTGTTGCACGCTGCATTAAATTCATTGTACGGTATGCTTTACTGATCTACTTACCAAGTCGTTTGCTCATGTTTATTTTTAACTAGGCTAGCCAGTTAGTTACCTTTTAGATATACCGGTAGTTAGTGTATTATGATTTCAATAGACTAGAGATGTTAGAGCGGCTTGTTGCGACTGAACCTGCTCCGACAAACATGTCCCTGCTCCAATTGACCATATCTGATGCTGCTGCTATGCATGGTGCCCTGCCTGCCGCAAGCTGCTGCTGGCTCCGATGCACCCGTGCATATGGCTTCCTTGCATCTGTTACTGTTCTAATCAACAATGTACAGCCACAATAGCGGACCCAAGAGGGCTTTATTGGAAATAATACATACGGTAGTGGTTACTAGGCAGGCATGCAGAGAGCATCAGGAGGGTGCAGCGAGGGGGGGTTGGGGGGGCGCGAGGCGCAGCGAGCGCAGCCAGTCGGTGAAGCCGGGCTCGGGGGTGGGCGGCAGCTTGGCCCGCACGGCTGCCCGCTCCTCCTCCTGCATCTCCCTCAGCGGTGGGAAGAGCAGCTCCTGGCGGGCAGGGAGGGGAGGAACGCAGGTAGCAGTGGGGGTGGAGTGGTGGGGATCGTGAGACACAGTGAGGAGGTGGGCAGGAGCAGAGCAGAGGCAACAGCACTGCAGAGTCGGATGCTCCCTCCCTACATTGTCATTGTCATCACCCACACCTCTCTTGGCTGCTCAGCTACTCACCTGACCAATGACTGATGAGGGAAAATCACCCAAACAATAACCTGCACGGAATGCATGCACACCTGAACAGCGAGGGGGTCCTTGTGTGTGGGCGTGAGGCGCGCCGTCATGAAGGCCGCTTCCGCCGTGCCCTCCTGCCATGCCGTCATGGGGAGGGCGGGCACAGGGCGGGGTGAGCGGGGAGTGCAGGTCGAGGATGCGGGCTAGAAGTTAAAGCACACGAGGGAGCGCAGGGGGGAGCACACGAAGGAGCACACCCAGATAGATCACCTCCCAGCACCCCCTCCTAACCCATTCCCCCCTTTGGCACTGACAGTGAAGCAGAGTACGCGTGGTGCCGGGAACCTGCCTCTGCCGCCCGGCCCGCCCATGAGCTGCGCTGCCAGCTGGCGACACGCCGCCTCCACTCCGCGCCTCGTGGGCTCGTCCGGCGCCAGGTGCGCTCCCTGGGGGGAGAGAGGGAGGGGGGGGTGGGGGGGCATGGTGCAGATGGCGCAATGGTGTGGGGTTGAGGAAGAAGGGCGGTGGCAGTCAGAGGTTGTGCGTGTGGGTGGAGGGAAGGAGACAAGGGGGAAGTGGCACTCATGACGGGCGGCGGCACTCATGACGGGCGGTGGCACTCATGACGGGCGGTGGCACTCATGATGGGCGGCGGCACTCATGATGGGCGGCGGCACTCATCATGGGCGGCGGCACTCATGATGGGCGGCGGCACTCATGATGGGCGGGGGCACTCACGAGCCAGATGAGCATGTCGGTGCCGTGGTCCAGCACCAGGGCGGCATCTGACGTCAGCGCCAGGTCAGAGGGCGGTACTTCAACGAACTGGGTGGCGTGGCCGGCGCGGAACATGAGCAGCGAGGGCAGCACCATGCGCAGCGCCGCCTCCCCCCCTGCGCGCAGCAGCAGTGCGCGCAGGGCCTGGCGCTCCCACTCGCCCGCCACGTGGCGCCCCAACACCGGGCTGCGCCTCACCTCGTACAGCGCCTCCGCTACCCTGCACACGGGGGTGGGGTGGTGGAGAAGTGCGGAGTGGAGGGGGGAGGTGAGATGTGCAATGGAAGGCCAAGGCAGGTGGGGCTTCTGCTGTGCACTGCTCGCCCATTAGCCCAGCAACTAAACACCCTCCCCTTGCTTCCTCGCTCCTCTCCTTACCTCCCACCTGCCCCCCTGCATTTGTGCCAATCGCACACCCTCCCCTCCCCTCCCCCACCTGCCCGTGACCCCTCCCCCCCTCAACTCACCGCGGCAGCTGGTGGGGGAACTGCAGCAGGGAGCGGTTGTGCTGTGCCACGCCGCCCAGCTTGAGCGCCAAGTCACGTGCACGGGCGTCCACCCACGCGCGCATCTCCCCCGCCTCGCGAGCCGTGGGCGCCGCCAGCACGGTGCGCTTGGCGATGAGCAGCGCTGCTGTGGGCTCGTGCACCGATGAGAGGTACGCCGGTAGCGATGCCGCCACTGGTAGACGCACCGTCACCACCCGCGTCACCACTGCATGGAAGGGGAGGGGGGGTTGCGGGGTGATGGGGGTGTGTGCGTGCGTATGTGCATGAGCGCGAATGCATGTGGGCGTTGAGTGGCTGGGTGGGCGCGTGGCAGATAGAGAGGAAGGAGCAGAGCAGTGCAGTGCGGCTCAGATGAGCACGTGGCCGTGACAACGAGCAGCAGGGTGGTGGCAAGGAGTGGTGGGCGCACCCTCAGGCTGGCACAGGCAGCACTCACGGTCATGGTTGAGGAGGCGGAAGCGGCAGAGGAACTGGAAGAACACGTGGTGGCGGGTGAGGTCGTCTGTCAGCTCCATGCTCACCGCCACCGCTGCCTCCTCGTCCACACTCAGCAGCGCCACCGCCGTCGCACTGTCCTCCGGGAACCCCTCCTCCCCGCCCGCCCCCCTGCGCCCGCCGCCCTCCTCCGCCTCTGCGGGGCCGATCACGCGCGTCACAGCCACCTCGGGCGAGCAGCGCACCTCCAGCGACCCCTCCGCGCCCACGATGCGCGAGAGGGCGCGCAGCAGCAGCGGGGGGAACGCGGCGGGGCTGAACTCGTCCAGCGGCACCAGCGCGCCCCCTGACAGCGCCGCCAGGGGCAGCAGTGCGGGCACGCGCACCAGTAGTGGGCCCCCCGAGAACACGTCCACCACGGCGCCCATGCGCCGCGCCTCCCTGCCCAGCGCCTCGTAGTGCCGCCTCGCCGCCTGCTCGCGCTGCCGCTCCTCGCCCTCCCCCACGCCCTCTATGCCCTCCGCCACCGCCCCCGCGCCCACCGTGGCCGGCCCCCCGCACAGCACCACCACGCGCGCCGCCCCGCTCCACCGCCGCTGCGAGGCACGCGGCAGGGCGGGCGCGGGGCCGCGCAGCAGCGCGAGCGCGAGGTCCACGGCGGGACCCAGGGCGCGCGCGCGGGCGAGGGGGGGCGTGGCGGCGCGGCAGGGGCGCAGCGAGGCGATGACAGCCTGCGCGGAGGGCAGGCAGGCCGCGATGGGCGCCAGGTGCTGCGCGCGGCCCAGCAGCAGCGCGGCCAGCGTGGCGGCGGGCAGCGCGTGTGTGGCGGGGAAGCAGTCGGCGGAGGCGAGCAGCGGCGAGGCGGAGGGCGAGAGGTCGAAGAGCGAGAGGGCCGCGCCAAAGGTGATGATGGCGATGCGCGTGGCGGACGGCAGGTGCTGCAGCATCGCCTGCCATGGGGCGGCATGGGGGTGTTGGGGGAGGCATGGGGAAGGAAGAAGTGAGGGGGGGGACGAGGAGGCAATGAGGATGGGTTGTTGTCTGCAGTCACAGTGAGCCGCCATTGAATCATCGTGACCCGTCCTGTGCTGTGTGCCATGCACTCACCGTGAGCGCGGCTCTGACTCCCCCCATGCACGCGGCGTCCAGCCCCTCGTCCACCACCACCACTACCGGCGCCCCCAGCACCGCCTCCGACGCGCCCCCCCCCACTCCCCCCTCCCCCGCCCCGCGCGCCCCCCCGCCCGCCTCAACGTAGTCCACCACGCGCGCGCCCAGCTCCGGCCACCCCTCGAGCGTCTCCCCCTCCGCCAGCAGGTAGTGCCCGCCGCTCATGTTGGGGCGCCCGCACAGCGCGCAGCGCCAGTCGCCCGTGGCGGGCGCGATGGCGGAGTAGAGGCACACGCACGCCCCGCAGAAGGCGCAGCGCAGCGGCGCATGGCGCACCACAGGGGGCGGTTGGGAGGAAGCGGGAGCGGCGGAGGTGGGGGAGGGGAGGGTGGAAGCGGAGGGTGAGAGGAGCGGGGAAGCGGCGGAGGCGGGGAGCGGAGGGGTGGGCGCGAAGAGCGCGCCGAAGCCGAGGCTCTGCACGTTGGCGATCTTGCGCTCCCGCGGCACCTGCGGGGGCACGTGCGCGCGGGGGGAACACATGGGAAGCGCGGGGGGAACACATGGGAAGCGCGGGGGGAACACATGGGAAGCGCGGGGGGAACACATGGGAAGCGCGGGGGGAACACATGGGAAGCGCGGGGGGAACACATGGGAAGCGCGGGGGGAACACATGGGAAGCGCGGGGGGAACACATGGGAAGCGCGGGGGGAACACATGGGAAGCGCGGGGGGAACACATGGGAAGCGCGGGGGGAACACATGGGAAGCGCGGGGGGAACACATGGGAAGCGCGGGGGGAACACATGGGAAGCGCGGGGGGAACACATGGGAAGCGCGGGGGGAACACATGGGAAGCGCGGGGGGAACACATGGAAGGGGCGGGGGGGAACCTGAGAGGCGGCGAGGGCATGTGAAGGAGAGGGCGAGGGAAAGACGGCGAAGGTGAGACGAGAGGGGGACGCTGGGACAAGCGCGCGTGGAGGGGGGCTGTGCGGAGCAGCGAGCGCCCTGCGGCATGCCCAGCACCCGCCCTGTCATGCACTGCGTCGCTCCCCGCCCACCAGGGGCGTGCGGCGTACCGAGGAGGCGGTGAATCGCAGGTAGGGTTCGGACGCGAGATGGCCCCATTGCTCGTCGTGTGACAGATCGCAGCCGTACATCAGCGCCGCCATGTTAGCGCTGGCCAATGGCCAAGGGCAAGACAAACGCGTTAAAAAATAAATACATCTAGGAAGTCTTTGTTCCTATCGTATTCAAGGGGGTGTAGCTCATATGGTAGAGCGATCGCTTTGCATGCGATAGGTACGGGAATCGATACCCCGCGTCTCCAAGCTATGTCTTGGTTGTCCCGAAAGAATTATTTTTCCTTTTTGGGGAGGGGGTATGTTTGTGTGACGGCATGATAGGTTGACTGTTCAATTCAAGCATTGCAAAATCATCTCCGCGGGCTGTTGGTCCCGTGCCTCCACTCCCCGCCATGGCTGGCGTGCAAGCCCTCCTCGCTCGCCGTCCCGCCTTTCTGCTCGGCGCGCCACCGCCTGACTCCGCCGCCCGCGGGCTTCTCTCCGGCGCAGGCCGCGCCATCCCGCGCCCGCACGGTCCTTTCTCGGATAGGCGGGGGTTTAGGCGGGCTTACGTCGGCATTAGCAGCAAAGGAGAGAATCGAGTATTTTGCGCGTATAGCGGCGATGGCGGGGCGACGAGTAGAGCAGCGGACGGATCGATAGAGCCAGACATTGAGAGGGACTGGGTGCGGCAAAGCGCGAGTGGCGTTTCACCATCACGCTCACAGGCGCAGGAGCAGTGCGAGTCGCCCGCTCCCCATGGCCCGCCATCTCCGCCTGCTGCTTCCCACAACGTCCTTGTCCCGCGGGCCCTTGCCCCCCCCCTCGCATCCGCGGCTCTCGCTCTCCTCCTCGCCCTCGCGCCCTTCGCGACTCGCCCGCCGGCCCTCGCGCAAGCACCCCCCGCGGGGACTGCGGCGACTGTGGCGGAGACGAGTAGCGGGAGGCGCGAGGCACGAAGCAAGGCTGCGGGGCGGCGGAAGGAAAAGCGCGCGGAGGGTGGAACATCCTCAGCGCGGGGGAGCAAGAGTGCTGTGGGGGGGTGGGAAGCAGCAGGAGGCGGACAAGCGGGGGACGTGGGGACGTTGGGGGAGGCAGACGCGGGGAGCCGGCGGGCGGAGGAGAGGCTGGAGGCATTCCAGAGGACAGCGGCGGCTGCGGTGACGGCGGAGGAGGTGGGCGCGGTTGAGCGCGCGTACCAGGCGGAGTGGGCGCGGAGCATGCGGGAGAGCGAGGCGCGGCAGGCGCGGCTGCTGGACGAGCTGGTGGGCGCGCGCATGGCGCTGGCGGAGAGAGAAGAAGCGCTGGAGCGCGCGCGGGAGAGAGTCGCGGAAGGGGAAGCGGCGGAGAGCAAGGGGCGGGAGGAGGAAGGCGGGGAAGAGGCAGGGAAGAGCGAAGAAGGGGCGGCAGGTAAGGGGAGTCGGGCAGGGGGCAAGGCGAAGGGGAGGAAGGGGAAGGGTGCGGCAGGGGCAGGGGGAGACGAAGGGGCGGGCAGTGTGCGCGCGTGCAGGCGGGCCGTGGAGGCGGCGCAGCGGCGCGCTGACGAGGCGGCGGCGGCAGTGGTGGCAGCGGGGCAGCAGGCGGAGGGGCGGCTGGCGCGCATGTGGGAGGCACTGGGGGAGGCGAAGAGGAGGGTGCATGGGGAGGTGGCAGGGGGCGCGAGCGCGGACGGGGAGGGCGGCGAGGGGGAAGCGGGGAAGGGAGTGGCGGCGATGGGGGGTGCGATGGCGGTGGCGGGCAGGGACGTGCGCGAGTGCCTTGACCACCCCGGCCGGGTGCCTGCTGTGCTGCTCCGATCGCTCAGACGTGCCGTGGGGGGCGGAGACCCTGCCGCCCCCACTGCCGCTGCTGCTGGTGGTGATGCAGGGCAGGGGGCGGAGCAGGCAAGGCCAGAAGGGGCAGCGGGCCTGAAGGCACTGAGTGCAGCGGAGGAGGCAGCAGCGGATGCTCAGGTGCTGGCGTGGCACAAGTGGGCGGCGGAACAACGGGCAGCGGCAAAGAAGCAGATTGTGAGCAGCCGAGGCAAGGCCAAGGCGTTTGCAGCTGAGAAGCAGGTCCGTGCCGCCCGCTACTCCCTGCTTGTTGCTGCTTTGTTGCTCCTGAATGCTGCATGGGCGGATAGCTGCATGCACGCCCTCTCGCAAATCTTCCTTTCTCATTTTCTCCCTGCCGTGCGCCCAATACCGTGCTTCCCCATGCGCGTCACCCGGCATGCAGGCGGAGGTGCTGGCAGCGCGCGACCGGGTGATGGGGGAGGCCACGCTCAACACGGGCGTCACCTCGCCACTGCTGGGGGGTGGCCCCGAGGGGCGGTGGGAGCTGACAGCAGCGGGGCTGTGGGAGGCGCTCTCGCACTCGCTGCTCTCCTCCGTGTCGCTGCGCCACGACCGCCGTGCCGCCCTGCTGCGCCTCAAGGCCGACCCGCGCCTCTTCTTTGTCGACCTATCCGCGTGGGACAGCTGGCGCCACGCCACTGGCGGCACCGACGAGCTGCTGCTGCGCCTGCGGGTGGCGGGCGTGCCGACGCGGGTGGAGGTGATGTGGGTGCCAGTGAGGGAGTGGGACCCCGCCTCGCTCTACGCGCTGCCGGCGCGTGTGGTGGGGCACGCGGCGCACTCGCTGTCGTCAGCGGGGCCGGTGCAGGTGGCGCTGCAGTGGTACGTGGGCACGGCGGGCGAGGCAGCAGAGGAGACGTTCTTCCGCTTCGTGTGGCCCGCCATGCCACGCGCGCTCAAGGCGCTGCTCAAGCTCGACTACTCGGAGGGCGCGGCGGCAGGCGACGTGGTGGCACTGGAGCGCATGGGGTGGCTGGCGGCCGCTGAGAGGCGCTTCGCGAAGCGCAGCAGCATGGCGGGCAGGTGGGCGTGGTGGCTGGTGCTGCCCGCCAAGGCCGCTGTGGCGCTCTTCCCCCTGCGCTGGGCCGCCCTCCCCGCTGCTGCCCTGGCGCAGCGCCTGCTGGTGGGCGCGCCGGGGCCGGAGAGTGAGACGGCGTACAAGACGCGGCTGGGGAAGGAGCTGCTGCGGCGCGTGGGCAAGCAGGAGGAGGATGAGGAGAAGGCGAAGAAGGAGAAGAAGGTCAAGGACTCCATCCGAGAGGCCTTCGACCGCATGAAGGTACCCCCTGCCCCGCACCTCCACTGCCCCCCCCTCACCTTGCTCCGTGCAATGCCAGCCCTCTTTTGCGTCTTTCCCCACACCCCCTCTTCAAACTGCCATTTCCTTTTCATGTGTTCATCTCTCACCTTCATCCCATCCCATCTGTTCCTTTCCGCTCCCTCCCTCCCACGGTGCGTGTGGGCAGCGAGTGCGGAGGCCGGCGGTGCGGCTGAGCGATTTCGCGGGGATGGACGCGGTGAAGGAGGAGGTGCAGGAGGTGATCACCTTCCTGCGCGACCCCTCCTCCTTCCAACGCCTCGGCGCCCGCCCGCCCCGGGTGAGCCACGCCCTGTCTTGCTGCCTTGTGCCGTACACACCCTGCTTGCCTCTCTTCCTCTCACCTTTGTCTTCCCTCCTGCTGCTGCCACCCCACCATACGTGCACGTCAGGGCGTGCTGATAACGGGGGGGTCGGGCGTGGGCAAGAGCAGTTTGGCGCTGGCGATAGCAGCAGAGGCGAGGGTGCCGGTGGTGGACATCAAGTCCAGCGATGTGGACCCGGGGGGGTTCGTGGGGCAGGGCGCTGCCAACGTGCGCGAGCTCTTCAAGATGGCGCGTGAGATGGTGAGGGGGTCAGGTGGTCAGGTGGTGAGGTGGTGAGGTGGTGATGTGGTTATGGTGAGGTGGTGAGGTGGTGAGGTGGTGAGGTGGTGAGGTGGTGAGGTGGTTATGGTGAGGTGGTGAGGTGGTGAGGTGGTCAAGATGGCATGGGAGATGGTGAGATGGTTTGATGCTGAGATGGTGAGGTGGTCAAGATTACACGCACTGCCAGGCGCCCATGCTCATTCTCATCGCCCCACTGCCACTGCCACTGGCAGGCGCCCATGCTGATCCTGATGGAGGACTTTGAGGAGATAGGCGGGGTGCGCGGGGCGGCCATGGACACGCGCCTGCAGGACAAGGAGGCCATCATCAACCAGCTGCTCGTTGAACTCGACGGGTCCGCCTCCCCCCCTCCCCCCCTCCTGCGCTCGCCGCTTCCCTCGCCTTCGCCTCTCTGCGCCCATAACCTCATGCGAATTGCACTCGCATTCACTTGCTGTCCAATGCACCCTACTTACTATCCTCCCCTTGCTTCGCTCCCCTCTGCCCCATGTTGTCATTCGAGCCTCGCCTTAGACCGCTCTCACGCCTCCTGCTCGTTTTTCTTCTCCCCGTGCTTGTTTGCAGGTTTGAGACACAGGAGGGCGTGGTGCTGCTGGCAATAACTGACAATCCAGCTGCTGTGAGTGTATCAGTGGAAGGTAGCAGCCGAGAGTGTAGCAGAGCACGGGAGAAGCTGTGAGTGCCAGTGGAGGACGGGAGGGCCACACGAGGGCAGTGAGTGTGGCCCGTGGCAACATGGGGCGCACATGGCAAATGCATGTTCCCTGCGCTCGCCTTCTCCCAACAGCCAAGACTGCCCCTGTCGGCTCACCCATCCCGCCCTCCCCCGTGCCCCCTTTCCCCCCACTCTCCTCTCCCCTCCCCCCCCAGGTGGACCCAGCGCTGCGGAGGCCGGGGCGCATGGACCGAGTGATCGAGGTGCCGCTGCCCACGGCGGGCGAGAGGGAGAAGATTCTGCGCCGCGCCGCCGCCGCCTCCATGGACCAGCGATTCGTTGATGCCGTTGACTGGCGCTTCGTGAGGCCCCCTCCTTGCCCTGCCATGCTGTGCCATCCATGCCATCTAATGCCATGCCATGCCATGTCATTCCATGCCTCTACTTGCTTATAGCTCAGAGCTTATGCCATAATATCACATAGCATCATACCATATCAAAGCATGGGATGCCATACTTCATGACGGTGACATACCACACCATGCCATGTAATGCCATGTCATTCCACCCAAGGCCATGTCATCCCACTGATGCGACCGCATGCACGGCACGCATGGCATGTGTGAGCGCAGGTGGCGGAGCAGACGGGGGGCCTGAAGCCGACGGACCTGAGGGGCATGCCGCGGCGCATCCTGCTGGCCGCCGGCACCGACAAGTTACGCGATGAGGACGAACTGGCGGGCACTCTCAGCATGCTGGAGGTGAGGCACTCTCAGCATGCTGGAGGTGAGGCACTCTCAGCATGCTGGAGGTGAGGCACTCTCAGCATGCTGGAGGTGAGGCACTCTCAGCATGCTGGAGGTGAGACCACGGCTCAGCAGGTATCGTGGGGGTCAAGGTGATGTGTAGAGGGATACGGAGAATGTGGGATGGGCTCTTGTGTGTGCTCACGCCATGACTTTCCCCTGTGCCGTGCATGGGCTGTGCGCCCCTCTGCCTGGCAGCTGTACCACTGGGTGGTGCCGGCGCTGCTGCGGCGCGTGCCGGTGCTGCAGCGGTGGGAGAGCGGAGTGGTGGAGCGGCTGGGGCTGGAGCTGACACCGGGGGACGTGCAGCGAGTGCTGCCGGACATTGACTTCTCCTCGCTCACCGACCTCGGCATGGACCTCACCCTCCCCGACACCGCCAAGGTGCCCCCTCCATCCTGCCCTCCCCTCCCTCCTCACTTGCCTTGCATTGCCAGCAATGCCCCTCGCTCCTTTCGCATCTTTCCACTCACCGTGCCGCTGCACCTGCTCCCCCACTTGTCACTGCACCTGCTCCCCCACTTGTCATTGCGCCTGCAACCAAGCTTGGCACCTCCCCTTCTTGCATCAAGTCGCACCTCCCCTTCATTTCTCCACTTGTCACCCCACCCTTCCCCCCTCCCTCCTACTTGCTCTCCCACGTCACAGTGGGATCGTGCTGAGAAGCTTCCGCATGCGGTGTGGGCAGCAGGGAGGGGTGTGCTGGCAGCGCTGCTGCCGAGCTTTGACCGCGTCGACAACATCTGGCTCAACCCCAACAGCTGGGAGGTGCGCACTGCCATGCCACGGGCGAGCAGGCGGGAAGTGTGCATGGCTAATGAGAAGAGAACGACGACATTGCATGCATTCACCATCGTGTATTATCATGCCATTTGAAGCCATCAGCCTCGCCTCCCCCTCCCCCGTGTGCAACCGTGACGGCGTGGGCGGTGTGCATGTGGGGGTGGCAGGGCGTGGGGTTCACGCGCTTCACGCGTGCCGCCGAGGGCTCGCTGGGCGGGGCGGACGGCAGTGCGGAGGCGGGCGGCGGCGGCGTGGTGAGCCGCGCGTACACGGAGCAGAGCCTGGTGGCGCTGTTCGGGTCGCACATCGCCGCCGCGCTGCTGCTGCCCTGGGGGCACTCCAACAGCCTCGCCACCCCGCAGCTACAGCAGGCCTACCAGGTGCAGGGGGCTGGGGGGAATTGGGGGCCGGGAAGGCAACGGGGGGAGGAGGGGGAGTTGGGGGAAGTGGCAACAGCTGGAAGGGCGCTTCTTGATTCGAGAGGGAAAGGGTAGCAGTATTGGTGTGGTCAGAGTGGGGTTTGCTTTGGTAAAGCGAAATGTGTTTCACCAATCAAGAGTCCTCTCTCTCTCCAGCATGTGGCACATGCAGCACGTGGCACAGGTAGCACGTGGCACATGCAGCACGTGGCACATGCAGCACGTGGCACATGCGGCACGTGGCACATGCAGCACGTGGCACAGGTAGCATGTAGATTACCCATGTGCTGCCCTGTCTTCTCCTTCCCGTGCGCCTGCCCTCCCTGCCACCATTCTAAACGTGCGTGGCATCAGCTGGCGGAGCGCATGGTCATGGAGTGGGGCTGGGGACCCGACGACTCTCCCTTCATCTTCCAAACCCACACTGCGGTCAGTACTACCACCCACCATGCTGTGAGTGCCACCCACCATGCTGTGAGTGCCACCCTCCATGCTGTGAGTGCCACCCACCATGCTGTGAGTGCCACCCACCATGCTGTGAGTGCCGCCCGCCATGCTGTGAGTGCCGCCCGCCATGCTGTGAGTGCCACCCTCCATGCTGTGAGTGCCACCCACCATGCTGTGAATGCCACCCACCATGCTGTGAGTGCCACCCTCCATGCTGTGAGTGCCACCCACCATGCTGTGAGTGCCACACACCATGCTGTGAGTGCCACCCACCATGCTGTGAGTGCCACCCACCATGCTGTGAGTGCCACCCACCATGCTGTGAGTGCCACCCACCATGCTGTGAGTGCCACCCACCATGCTGTGAGTGCCACCCACCATGCTGTGAATGCCACCCACCATGCTGTGAGTGCCACCCACCATGCTGTGAGTGCCACCCACCATGCTGTGAGTGCCACCCACCATGCTGTGAGTGCCACCCACCATGCTGTGAGTGCCACCCACCATGCTGTGAGTGCCACCCAACATGCTGTGAGTGCCACCCACCATGCTGTGAGTGCCACCCACCATGCTGTGAGTGCCACCCACCATGCTGTGAGTGCCACCCACCATGCTGTGAGTGCCACCCAACATGCTGTGAGTGCCACCCACCATGCTGTGAGTGCCACCCACCGCTCTGTTTCCGCTGCTCTGTTGAGCAAATTCTCCATGCTCTCTCCACTCCACTGTCTTCCCCCTTCCCCGACTCTCCTTCATTCCTTCTCTGCGGTGTGGTGCTGCCCTGCCACCCCGGTGTTAGCAGCGCAAGAGTCTGGCGTTGGGGCGAAGGCAGGAGGCGGAGCTGAAGCAAAGGGTGCAGCAGGTGAGGGTGGTGGGGGACTCACGACTGCATTGAAGTGAGGGTGGTGGGGGACTCACGTGGACTGCATTTAAGTGAGGGTGGTGGGGGACTCACGTGGACTGCATTTAAGTGGTTGGAGGCACATGTTGTAGGTGCTTGGTGGCGGCACATGTTGTAGGTGCTTGGTGGAGAGCCACAAACGGACCAACATTGATCCACACCGTGTTTAGTTTGGTGAATGAACATCCACACCTTCATATGTAGGTGAAACTGAACAATCACCACATCCTCTCTCCCACCTTCCCTCACCTGCGCGGGCATCAGCTGCACGATGCGGCGTTTGAGCGCGCGCACGCGCTGCTGGCTGGCAACCAGCGCACGCTGCAGGCGGTGGTGGACGCCCTCTGCACGCACGACGCCGTCGACCGCCAGGTCAGCGCCCGCCCGCCCCCTCCATGCCTGCATGGTCGCCTGGGTGCATTGTGCATGCTTGGTGCTTGGGTGCATGGGTGCATGGGCGCATTGGTGCATGGGCGCATGGGTGCATGGCCGCATGGGTGGATGGGTGCATGGGCGCATGGGTGCATGGGCGCATGGGTGCATGGGCGCATGGGTGCATGGGTGCATGGGTGCATGAGCGCATGGGTGCAAGGGTGCATGAGCGCATGGGTGCATGGTGCATGAGCGCATGGGTGCATGGGCGCATGGGTGCATGAGCGCATGGGTGCATGAGGGCATGGGTGCATGGTGCATGAGCGCATGGGTGCATGGTGCATGAGCGCATGGGTGCATGAGTTCATGGGCACATGACTTGTGTAGAGGCAGGTTGCTATGGGCTGGAGAGCGTTGACATGGGAGATAGCTGAGAAGATGCCCTCTGCAGATGCTATGTGGGTCGTGCAGTGGCACACATGAGGGCTCCACTTGAAGGCAAGTGGAATGGAAACCTGCTGGACAGTCGATGTGGCTGGGAGACAAACTTCCGAGCCACCTTCTCTCACTCAGGAAGGATGCCTGGATCCATGCAAATGTGACTGTTGTGAGTTTTGACCCTCGTTGGAAAGCAGCTCCCAACGGGTAAATTCTGTCGTATGGTGGCCCCGTGTGACTGTCCCTCTCAACAGGAACTGCTGCGCATCATGACAGACACATCAGCCGTGCCGGAAAACGAGCCATTTGAGCTTTTCCCTTACAGCCACCCCACGCACAGGGCTGGCAAACACTTGGCTGCACGTACACAGGCCGGCAGGCTTGCTGCACTCAGCACCAACCTGCCCCAAGGAATTCTGCCTGCGGAGGCATCTGCCAAGTGATGGTGGTGAGGGCACATTGCCAACCGCACTATGGGTTGCTAGTGGCACAATGTGTGTGTAATGTAGTGTAGAGTGTTTATGGGAGGGAAGAGCTTGCGAAAAAATCTTAAGGCATGAAATACAGTTGTTAAGATGTAAATGGCAAGACTTGTAGGAGAAGTATTTTCTGTGGCAAGTCCATATTTTGCCCTGTAGAGAAGAGTCCGGACTTCAAGGAGTTCGCATCGCAGAGCAGCAGTCAGAACATTTCAAATCTTCATCTTACAGCACACTACCCGTAGATTGCGTCTTCCAAAGTGTTGAAGTACTAATATGTTTTGGTAAGAAATCAAAGGCCATATCAAGGAAATGTAATCACTTGGGATGAGTTGTAGGTTCAGGACGCGTCCGCTCAACACCGATCTCACGACGGATCATGCTATATCGATCCTCGTTGCATTAAATCGTATAGCAGCCATATGTTCACGCGTCTCACCCCACCCCAATGGGGATGAAAACACACATGTGCAACAGGCATGGTTCGATCGCCAATACCAGTGACCGATCATGATCGTCACCCTCACACGCTCCTGCTGGTTTGGTTATAGGCCCAAACGCACACAGCCGCGTGACTGAACAGAAGAAAAACGCTGGGAAAGAGCGTTTTCATCACCAAAACGCGGAAAGATCCACACATGAGCAAAAAATGCAGTAGGCATGGTTCATTCGCCCGTGCCAATGACCGATCATGCTCGTCACCCACCCACGCTTGGCTTGGTAATAGGTCCAGACGCACACATCCGCGTGACCGAACGGAAGAAAAACGCTCGTAGCGAGCGTTTTCATCCCCAAAACGCGGAAGGATTCGCACATGTGCAGAAAATGCAGCAGGCATGGTTCATTCACCCGTGCCAATGACCAATCATGCTCGTCACCCTCCCACGCTAATGCTAGTTTGGTAATAGGTCCAAACACCCACAACCTCGTGACTGAACGGAAGAAAAACGCACAGAACGAGCGTTTTCATCCCCAAAACGTGGAAGGATCCGCACATGTGCAAAAAATGCAGTAGGCATGGTTCATTCGCCAGTGCCAGTGACCGATCATGCTCGTCACTCTCCCACGCTCTTGCTGGATTGGTATAGATCCAAAAACACACACCCGCGTGACCGAACGGAAGAAAAACGCCCGAAACGAGCGTTTTCATCCTCAAAACGCGGAAGGATCCGCACATGTGCAAAAAATGAAGCAGGCATGGCTATTTCGCCAGTGCCAATGACTGATCATGCCCATCACCCTCCCACGCTCTTACTGGCTTGGTAATAGGTCCAAACGCACATAGCCGCGTGATTGAACGGAAGAAAAACGCCCGGAACGAGCGTTTTCATCCCCAAAACGCGGAAGGATCCGCACATGCGAAAAAAATGCAGCAGGGATGGTTCGTTCGCCCATGCCAATGACCGATCATAAGGATCCGCACACGTGCAGGAAGTGCAGCGGGCGCTCTTCATTAACGAGCGCCGATGACCGATGATGCTCGAAAATTGTGGTTGATCATTCCTTGTGGATCTCAAAATTTGAGCGCCTGAACTCTGTGTGGTATGCCCATTATAGGTGCACATACTAACTAGACTACCCAACGCATCACTTTGACCGGTCCACTGCATTGGATGTCTCTTCTTTTGCGCTAGTCCACTAGATTAGACCATTTTCCACATCCACAACAATTGTCTCCACTTCATTCCATGTAGTTCTCAGAATTTGAGCTCCCGAACTCTGCTGGTACGCCCATTATAGGTGCGCATACTGACCAGACTGTCCAACGCATCACTTTGACTGGTCCACTGCATTGGATGCCTCTTATTTTATGCTAGTCCACTAGATTAGACTATTTTCGACATCCACAACAATCGCTTCCATTTCGTTCCATGTGATTCTCAAAATTTGAGCTCCTGAATTCCGCCTGGTACGCCCATTATAGGTGCGCATACTGACCAGACTGCCCAACGCATCATTTTGACTGGTCCACTGCATTGGATGCCTCTTTTTTTGTGCTAGTCCTCAATATTAGACTATTTTCGACATCCACAATCATCCACAATAAGTGTTTCCATTTCGTTCCACGTGGTTCTCAAAATTTGAGCTCCTGAACTCTGCCTGGTACGCCCATTATAGATGCGCATACTGACCAGACTGCCCAACGCATCACTTTGATTGGTCCACTGCATTGGATGCCTCTTTTTTTGTGCTAGTCCTCAACATTAGAATATTTTCCACATCCACAACAAGTGTTTCCATTTCGTTCCACGTGGTTCCCAAAATTTGAGCGCCTGAACTCTGCCTGGTACGCCCATAATAGGTGCGCATACTGACCAGACTACCCAACGCATCACTTTGATTGCTCCACTGCATTGGATGCCTCTTATTTTGTGCTAGTCCACTAGATTAGACTATTTTCGACATCCACAACAATTGTTTCCATTTCGTTCCATGTGGTTCTCAAAATTTGAGCTCCTGAACTCTGCCTAGTACGCCCATTATAGGTGCGCATACTGACCAGACTGCCTAACGCATCACTTTGACTGGTCCACTGCATTGGATGCCTTCTCTTTTGTGTTAGTCCTCAATATTAGACTATTTTCAACATCCACAATAAGTGTTTCCATTTCGTTCCATGTGGTTCTCAAAATTTGAGCTCCTGAACTCTGCATGGTACGCCCATTATAGATGCGCATACTGACCAGACTGCCCAACGCATCACTTTGATTGGTCCACTGCATTGGATGCCTCTTTTTTTGTGCTAGTCCTCAACATTAGAATATTTTCCACATCCACAACAAGTGTTTCCATTTCGTTCCACGTGGTTCCCAAAATTTGAGCGCCTGAACTCTGCCTGGTACGCCCATAATAGGTGCGCATACTGACCAGACTGCCCAACGCATCATTTTGACTGGTCCATTGCATTGGATGCCTCTTCTTTTGTGCTAGTCCACAAGATCAGACTACTTTACACATCCATAACAAGTACTTCCATTTCGTTCCATGTGGTTCTTAAGGTTTGAGCTCCTGAATTCTGCCTGGTACGCCCATTATAGGTGCGCGTACTGACCAGACTGCCAAACGCATCACTTTGACTGGTCCACTGCATTGGATGCCTCTTCTTTTGTGCTAGTCCACAAGATCAGACTACTTTACACATCCATAACAAGTACTTCCATTTCGTTCCATGTGGTTCTCAAGGTTTGAGCTCCTGAACTCTGCCTGGTACGCCCATTATAGGTGCGCATACTGACCAGACTGCCCAACGCATCACTTTGACTGGTCCATTGCATTGGATGCCTCTTCTTTTGTGCTAGTCCACAAGATCAGACTACTTTACACATCCATAACAAGTACTTCCATTTCGTTCCATGTGGTTCTGAAGGTTTGAGCTCCTGAACTCTGCCTGGTACGCCCATTATAGGTGCGCATACTGACCAGACTGCCAAACGCATCACTTTGACTGGTCCACTGCATTGGATGCCTCTTCTTTTGTGCTAGTCCACAAGATCAGACTACTTTACACATCCATAACAAGTACTTCCATTTCGTTCCATGTGGTTCTCAAGGTTTGAGCTCCTGAATTCTGACTGGTACGCCCATTATAGGTGCGCATACCAACCAGACTGCCCAACGCATCACTTTGACTGGTCCACTGCATTGGATGCCTCTTCTTTTGTGCTAGTCCACTAGATTAGACTATTTCCCACATTCACAACAAGTTCTTCCATTTTGTTCCATGTGGTTCTCAAAATTGAACTCTACCTGGTACGCCCATAATAGGTGCTTATACTGATCAGATTGCCCAACGCATCACTTTGATTGGTCCACTGCATTGGATGGCTCTTTTTTTGTGCTAGTCCACCATAGTAGACTATTTTTCACATCCACAAAAAGTGTTTTTCTTTCGTTCTATGTGGTTTTAAAAATTTGAGCTCCTAAAACCTGCCTGGTACGCCCATTATAGGTGCGCATACTAACCAGACTATGTTCCACATCCACAAAAATTGTTTCCATCTTATTCCATGTGGTTCTCAAAATTTGAGCTCCTAAACTCTGCCTGGTACGCCCATAATTGGTGCGCATACTGACCAGACTGCCCAACGCATCACTTTGATTGGTCCACTGCATTGG